TAAGCTGGTTTTATGGTGCTAGCCCACTGAGATACCATGCCGCATTGAAGCAGGAATACCCCACTCAGACACATTATACTGACTCCGAGCAGACCAGTCCTTGTTGTACCCATGAATGCCGAGCGCCAGGCAGGGACCAACAAGTACCATATTTTAACGTCTTTTGGTATGACGCGGTCGGGTATCGAACCCGCGACCTTCCGCTCTCCGGGCGGACGCTCTAACCTCTACACCACGGAGGCGGTTAATAATGCAGGTAGACAAGATAAAAGCAGATTGGCAACAACCGGATTTTGGAATGTCATTTGATGGAAGGGGGACTGTGAGTGAGGAAATTACATGTGTAGGTGTAAACGCATACATAACAGTAACGTGGATGTTATTGGTATCGGTGAGACACACATTAAAGAAGGAAGTGCCAAATGTAGCCGAGTTTAAGCGGAAAGGTCAACAAGACTACGCTCCATCACAAGGAACATAGTGGCTAAGGTGGAGTAGGATATTTTATCCATGCAAGATAGATATTGAGCTGTTGAACAGAATAAACCTTTCGAAGGTATTTTATGGATATGCCTTAAAGACAAACGTGACGGGAAACAACATAATTGTGGGGTCTGTTATTTATTCCCCGAGATATCATGTAGACGTGTTGAAGTGCATGAGGTTTTAGACAGATACATGTATTGTTCAACATGCATGAGATTATTGTTCAACATGCATGAGATTATTGTTCAACATGCATGAGGTTATTGTTCAACATGCATGAGATTATTGTTCAACATGCATGAGGTCATTGTTCAACATGCATGAGGTCATTGTTCAACATGCATGAGATTATTGTTCAACATGCATGAGGTTATTGTTCAACATGCATGAGGTCATTGTTCAACATGCATGAGGTCATTGTTCAACATGCATGAGGTTATTGTTCAACATGCATGAGGTCATTGTTCAGCATGCATTAGTATCAGAAGTTTGGAAGTGTCACGGTGTGGGGGGACTTTAATAGTAGATGTGGTGATATGGCAGATGATGTTGAATGTGTAGAAAAATACAACCACGTGCTCTTCCTTCACACACACCCCAACACACACACACAACCCCCTCTCCCAGTCTGTATATATTAACTTGAAATAGACCTCTGACAAAACTCGTGGTCACATGACCGTTGCCTGTACGACTTGTCAGTTGACTCGCTGAGAAAAGGTTCATTTGTGCGGCTTTCTACAACAGGTAAGTACTCAATTGTGTATGCCGTGAGTGTGAATGTTGGATGTTACCCTGAGTCAGGGTATGCTTGTTGTTTTAGCGAACATGCCACAATTTTACTGTTACAGAATCATGTTATGTATACCATGTCATGTTTCTTAAACGCATCATCTATGTTCTATGATCATCACATTCTACACATTATGTTGCACAATCATGCCCCAATGTAATATTTCAGTTTCGCATCACCTGTGTAATATTGTATAGTTACATTCCCGTGGGGTGAGGTTTGTGAAGACTCATGATGAAAGCAAGGAATTGCACAGCTTTAATAAGCGCGCCTAGGTTGCTGGACAGGAACCAGTTGATACTGTTGGTGGCGATGTGCTGCAGGACGGTGCAGCAATGGGGGTAAACCAGGCGAAGTACCCCACCAAATCTGCGCTATTGTCGTTTTTTTGGGAGAAACTTTCTGAGGAACCACTGCATCGTGTGTACATGCAGTGTGTGGAACAGAATAGCAATCCAACCGACTCCGTACCCTGGATGAAGTCGGCTGGTCTTAAGGTTTGGTTTTAGAATATCTAAAGTTCATGAGACAGTTTAGGACAAGGGTTGTAGCTAACTGTGAATCTGAGGATGAGGAGATGAGTTATCTTAAACAGTCACATCGGCAATATTTCAGCCTTAACGTGATCTCATAGAAATCTCTTATTAAACTAGAGAGTGAGTTTAGTTTTACGCCGCACTCAGCAACATTCCAGCTGTATGGCACGGTCTGCAAATAACTGAGTCCAGGCCAGACAATCCAGTGATCAACAGCATGAGTATCGTTCTCTGCAACTGGGATACTATGATATGTGTCACCCAATTCAACGAGCCTGACCGTCCGATCCCAATAGCCGCCTCTTACGACAAGCCTAGGTTACTGAAGACCTATTCTAACCCGGACCTTCACGGGTCGCTGGTTTTAAGATTAAAACTGAAGGCTTTCTTTTTGCTGATCAGGACCAGTCACTTCACACTCGTAATAGTAATAGGAAATGTCGACTGTGCGATGCATTTATTGAGACTGTGCAACACCTTGTCAGTGAATGTCCTTCTTTGGCACAAACAGCATACCTTAAAGAACATGGTGGCATGGCTCGTTGCTTCTGTTATGACCTTCGCCATGTCTTGGCTTTGACTCCGAGGTCCATTCATGATACGACCCTGAAAATGTCCAGGGCGTCATGGAAAACGATGCTCACATGTTGGTTATATTGGATTATAAACGACATAAACGGACAGGATTCATAAGAAATATGCCTGAGGCTGTGAAGGGTTGGGTGTGATTTAGTGGGCTTCAGAGTGTCTATAGTGTTAGGTGTGTGTTCCTGTCCATTCTGTGTTGTTGGTAGTGTATGCAGTGTAGTAGGACGTGTTTTGGGGTTCCTTGGAGGGCTCCGAGTTTGAACCTACCAGGCACCAGAGGGTGTTTAGGTCCCTAGTACCCCTTTTTTATTAGATTTTTTATGTGCGCATCCTACATAAGGTGCTCAACTAATATAAGACTTAAGAACTGAGTTTCCTTTTGAAATTTGATGGTTCTATTTTTAGATAAATTGATGGGATAACTGGGCAAATATGTTTACGTTTGAAGACTACTCCAGTGGGGTTACTTATCGGCGTTTAACGAGAACCCCATTGATGGGCCCAAGCTGGGACTTTGCTTAGTGCCTGCTGGGGTAGCTTATTACCTATTTTAATGCTTCTGGTGCGGACGTAATACCCTTGATCTATGTTGATTGTGGGCTTGAGTCGTTTAATATTGATTGCCTCTAAGAGTTCTCTTATCTTGTAGTCTGATCGGTTGGCTTCAAGGATGTTGATGTTGTTCCAAAGGATGGTATGATTTGGATTGGCTTGGGTGTGGTCGGAGATGTCTGATTTGGAGGTTTTTTCTTCATAGATATCTGATATTCCTTGATTCTCGTGTTTAGAAGTCGGGACGGTTCACCTACGTACGAGTCACCACATGGAATGTGGTAGACAACGCCTGAAGGATCTTCTTTGTGTATTGTAGCTGGTTTGCCGGTGGCTTGTAGAATATGCTGAATTGATCTGCCTCCCTGGAACACAAAGTATGTGTTGGCTTGTTCCTTTAGTAGTCGGCAGATATGATGGCTGGTTGTATCGATGTATGGTATGCTGAATGCTGCCGATTGCTGACGTCATGGTTTGTGAATATACACCCACAACAGTGAAGTTGATAGTGCAACAGATATAGCATTGCAGCCACCCGTTATCAACCCTACGACACATAAACTTCATTTAAATGATTGATTAAAAGTGAAAGCTAATATCGCTGAAACCATAAACAACATAAACTTAAGTCTGGCCTCGGACAAACGCGTGCTGGAGGTGATATGCAATATTTACTTCCGTGATCACATTTAGTTGTGGGCAAGCTCATATTGTTTTCGTGGAAGCAAGCACTAAATGACACTGTATTACATTCATTTAATCATTTAAAAAGTAACAGTTTTGACCATGTGACTTGTGACGTCTGGAAAGCAAGGTATATGTTGGAGTTGGCCACACGTCAGAATATTGTTGTCAAAATGTACCAAGTTTCTCAGTCTGTCAACAACAGATGGGGAGTCCTGTACCCACACAGACATGACGGCGGAGATCTCCCAAGAGCAACACTAGTACTGGTCAGCTTAGTAGCAAGATGGCGTTGTGATATCAGATACGTGACGACTGAACACAGAGGGCATCTGCGTGCATGACGTCCACATATCACACCACCATTTATTGCACATCAGTTGAATCAAAGGTAACACTGATGTAGGACACGTCAGCAGCTGTCATGTCATGGCTTATGTCATGTTTTCTGATGAATCGACATTCGCTCTCCATGACAGATGTTATGGTCTTTGGGAACGTCCTAATGAACGTTTTATTGACGTTAACGTCATGCAGTATGGCCGTGCTGGAGGTTGGTCAGTGTTATGATATGGGTTTACAATGAAAGAGCGATCTACTCTCCATAACCAGACAGCTTTCCAACGTTGGACCTGACCGCCTGATCCAGTTAGTTGCCTCGTCAGACAAGCATGGGTTGCTGTAGACCAATTCTTAAAGGTATTATGTTGATGGAGTGAAACACTGAAATCGGCGTCCGTCTCAACTCAGTTAATCTGCTGAACCTATTTCATTCATGTAATTTTGTTTGATTTACAGCATAAGTATAGCACGTAGACATCTGCAAAAAATGATTGAATCTGGTTCGACAAACCAGTGATCGATATCATGAGCAACACCAGACGTCGCCGGGTTATGGCGATACGAAGTAGTTGATCCGATCGCTGTATTCGAGTACAAGGTAGTTAGGTACCACTCTAACTTCCAGGTACCTCCAGATTACTCCACATATAATACTGTGATAAAGTAGTCAGTGAGCTTTTAGGTAACGTCAAATATTACAGTACGACAGGTATAATGCGGTGTGTTTTTAACCACATTCTGTGAGAAAAGCTCGGAGCACGTTGATGAAAACCTTGAGTACGGGAGTGAAACTAACGATTGTATGGCTGTCGTGGTCTGTCTGTCCGTCCGCTCGTCCGTCATTCCTTCCTTCTGTCTATCTGTCGTGGTCTGTACGCCCGTCCTTCTGTCTGTCTCTCCCTTATCATCATCAGGTCCAACAGAACCTAGCACACATCCCACCTGTTATATGTCCTGGTTTTGTTAATCTCGATTGCTGTAATGATATTCAATCAAACCTTCTCTCTTCCAGAAAAGCAATGGGTGGAAGAAAGAGAGTCGCTATTGTTGGAGCAGGCCTCTCTGGTCTGGCGGCCATCAAGTCGTGTCTGGAAGAAGGGATGGAACCTGTGTGTTTTGAACAATATGACGACATTGGTAAGGTAAAGCAGGAGTCTGAATGTATTAGGTTGTTTTACATTTCGATGCGAGGTCAATATGATGCACTAAGCATTGATAATTATGCCACAATCATTCAAGCTATATGGATGTTGTAGGGTCAATACACTTCTGATCAAAAGGAAATTCACGCTAGAATGTGTTAGTATTGTGTTGCATTCGAGCTGCGGGGTCATAATCGGGGTCATAAACTCGATCGCGCAACAGATCACGCACGTGCTGCTAGAGTCAGCACGTGGAACATTCTGTGTTGCTCCAAATAAGGTAAATGCTGCTACATCACGTTAGACAGTAGTGTTCGGTAAGGATTGTAAACAAATGCGTCGCCAGTTTTTCAAAGCTAAAAACGCAATTGCGCGTCACAAAACCGAAAGAAATCACGAACTCTTACGTTTCAAAAGTAAACAGTATAAGAAGATTATGAATAAAGATAAGAAACAGAATGTCGATTATGTTAAGAAATGTTTCCGGGAAAATATGAGATCGTCGCCGAAGCAATACTGGAAGTTACTAAACCAAGCAACAGAGCAGCAACGGAAGAATCCGGAACATCTCACTTGAACTTTTATGCGATCATTTTAAAGTGATAAATGAAACTGAAGTGATGGGAAATTTTGAAGTTGAAAATATTCCTGACTATGATGCTGCTGTATTAAATGACGAGATAGCAGAAAATGAAGTCATGTTGGCATTAAAGCGATTAAAGAATCATAAAGCTCCCGGATTAGATCTAATAAGAAATGAATATCATACTGCAGCGTCGCCTCGGTTATTATTAACAGTTTACACATATTTCTTTGATTTGATATTAAATTCTTGAATTTTGCCCGAGGCATGGCTCACGGGTGTGATTAAACCAGTATGCAAGAAAAAGGGAAAAGTTTCTGATCCAAATTCATACCGGCCGATTTCTGTTCTCAGCTGCTTTGGCAAAATATTTACCTCGATTATTAATGAACGCGAAACATTTTTTTGCGAAACATTTGATATAATTTCTCATACACAGTCGGGCAACGGACAATGTGTTCGTTATAAAGAATCTTATCAATTCTCTGACGAATCGACATGAAAATCTGTCCAGTGCCTTTGTCGATTTTCCCAAGGCCTTTGATAAAGTGTGGCGAACCGGTCTTTGGATAAAGTTACTTCGTCATGGGGTCACGCCAAGGCGAATATTTCTCGCCTTTATTGTTTTCATTTTATTTGAATGATCTTGAAGATAACCTTACTAGTCAATGTGATAGTTTGAGTTTCGAGTTAGATAACGATGTTGTAAATATGTACATTAAACTATTAGTTTTATTGTATGCTGATGACACGGTAGTACTAGCCGACAGTAGTTACGAACTACAAACAACAATTAATTGGTTTTCACGTTACTGTGATTTATGGAAACTGGAAATTAACCCTGAACAGACTATAATTCTTATTTTTGGATATGGGCCTGCAAACAAAAATAAAAATAAATTTTATTATTAAGAGCAACCGCTTGATATTGTAGATACTTCTAAGTACCTTGGAATTACATTTCATAGAAATGGTAGGATGATAACAGCTAATAAACATGCTGCCGATATGGGTAACAAAGCTTCAATGTCCTTATTAAAGCGCGCGAGAAACTTAAATCTACCTTTGGATTGTCTCATCTCTGCCTTTGATAAACTTGTACTTCCGATGCTTTATGGTTGCGAAATGTGGGGGGTTGAACACATTAATATTATCGTGCTTGTTCATATGAAGTTCTTAAAATTGGCAGCAGGTTTAAAGATGTCTACACCAAATATTATGGTTTACGGTGAATTAGGCAGAGCCCCACTGTGCTTACGAATAGCTAAACGTTTGATCTCATATTGGTCTAAATTATCATGTCCACAACCAAACAATAAAATTGCCTCATTTCTGCGTGATTATATATATAACAAGAATATTCATGGTCAATTATATGCTTGGTTGAAGTACGTTAAAACTACATTGTAACATGTAGTCTACCACTCATTTTCGATATTCCTCAGAATTACTGCACAGAATAGACAATTGCAACAGTTTGTGACATTTTCAAGAGATCAATTTTTGCAGTCATGGCGAAGTGATGTTGACGATTCATCTGAAGGTTTTTATTATTCTGTCATTAAGGATTGCCCATGTTTGAGCAATATCTTTTATTGAAGAAAACGTTTATAAACCAATATTATATTTTAGAACAAGCAACCACTATTTACCAATAGAAAAGGGACGATGTTTTAATATCCCTCGTCAAGATAGATTATGTCCTAAGTGAAACTCAAGACTTATCGGAGATGAATTCCACTATCTATTTGATTGTACTGCTTTATCAACTTAACGTAAAAGTTTGATTAATGGGTATTATTACCAATGTCCATCTTTAGTAAATTATAAGAAACTAATGTGTAATGGGAATATTAAGATTATTAAGAATTTGTCACATTTCTCAATAATAAATATTATGTTTGTTCTTTGTAACTCATGTACTGCCGTTGGCGGTAACTTTGAGTGAATAAAATAAAGATTGATTGCACTCCTTGGATGAACAGACGTGTAGCTCACATTTTTTACAATATACCCTAGAGTATTCTTAACAGAAATTAAAAGGAAGAAAACCACCAACTATTTTAGCTAGTGTTTGGACAAAACATTACAGACAAAACGAATGATTTTTTTGAAAACATCCACTTAGAAATTATGTTGTTATGTTACCTATATTCCAGCAATATCATAGGGGTGTGTGTGTGTTGTGTGTGTGTTGTGTGTGGGGGGGATTGGGGGACACCAGAAATGGGCTTCACACATTGTACCCATGTGGGTCTTCAGCGTGACGAGCGAACGCTTTAATCATTACAGTACCCCAGCGCCCCTGAATCACAGCAATTAGCCGTACAATAGTATAATGATTTTCAATATGGATTTTAATACAACAGTGACAGATAATACTTCAAAAACTAGGCCTAATTTCTAACCGAGTGAGTACGTTTTACGCCGCTTTCAGCAATATTTGTGGGTCTTCGAGTAATGGGCTTCACACACTGTACGCACCTACTGAATCGAACCTGGATCCTTAATGTAATCAGATGAAATGTTATCACAAGCTACTTCTAAACAGGGCCAATGCAACGTGTTAACGTGTTTACATCGCTTTTAGCATTATTTCAGCACGGGGGATTGCTGAAATCACGGGGGACACAAGAAATGGTTTGAACACATTGTACTCTTATAGTACATCTTATATCACATCGCTACAGCCCGTTTCGCTCAAAAGCGGACCGATGAATTGCAATCTAACTAGAAAAACTAATAAACATAAAGTACTGAATGAAACGTTGATCATATTCAAAACATCAGACCAACTCTCTTAGGTTTGGCAGAATTTATATCCTAAAAATATAAAAGTTGTTTAACAAACTATCATTAAAACATTCACACAGTTCACTATTTGTTGGGAGGGAGGAGTGCAGAGAAAGGGACAGCCAGGTGTTAGAGAAGACGTGCACAAGTGCCGACAAAGTTATTGAATCATTAACCTGTGCTGTGCCGTCTCCACCCTTTCTCGCACACCTAGCTGTCCTTTTCTTTGCATTCCTCCCTCGTACCAAATAGTGAACTGTGTCAATATTTTAATGATAGTTTGTTAAACAATTTTTATTTTTTAAGGCATAAATTATGCAAACAAACTCACAGAGTGGCTCTGATGTTTTTATTATGATCAGCGTTTCATTGAGCATTTTATGCTTATGAGGTTTTCAAGTTAGATTGCAAGTCATCGTTCCACTTTTGAGCCAAACGGACTGTTGGCTACCCCACAGCAAACGTGTTAAAGACACGGTGTTAATCAGTGTTGTATCATCTTCAGGCGGTGTGTGGTACTACACCAAAGAATACAGAGAAGGACAGGGCGCAAGAGCCTTCGATTATCTGAACACCAACGTCAGCAGGGAAATGTATGGGTTCAGTGACTTCCCTTACCCCTCCAACCTTCCGCCATTCCTGAACCGCACCATGGTCTACGACTACGTTCAGAGTTACTGCGAGACGTTTGGTCTTCGCAAACACATTCACCTCCGAACCAGAATCGTCAACATAAAGAAGGCTGCTGACTACAACGTCACGGGAAGATGGCAGGTGGAGACAATGGATGCCCAGAAGAAGACGAAAACGGAAATCTATGACTTTGTGATGATCTGTTCTGGCTTCTACAAGAAGCCCCGAATTCCTCCTATTGAAGGAATGGAGACATTCAAAGGGACCCTTGAACACACATACAAGTTCAGAGATGGTTTGCCCTACAAGGACAAGAATGTTCTTGTCATTGGTAAGTAATTAGTTTTTCATGTATTTTCAAGACAGGGATAGTCTTTGTGATGACATCAACCAATTTGAAAAGCCCCAAAACACCACGAGCCGGTTAATATGGACATAAGGTCGAATACACAAAACTATTTAAGCACATTTTGGACGCAACAACTTTTATGCGCATTCTGCTTTGTTTCCAAACGTTACGGGTGTGTCAATACAAACAAGTAACATGATTGTTTATCTTTTTGATATGTAGGAAAAAATGGTTTAAATATCGATTATTTCAAGAGTGACTTTACAGGAGAAAAGACATCATTTTCCTCTTGCGTTAGGTTTTTATCGCCAATGATCTTAGAACAAAGTTAATTCATAACTGCAAATCATCAAAATTGTACATAATTCTAATATTTTTGTCAGATTGACAAGCAGCAGCATGATAAATATAACTTACGTGTCTGTTCTCCTGTGGATAATTTGGTATTGTTCCAAAGATCTGTAAGTATCTACTGCCATGTTTTTTAACATACAAGGATCACGAAGTCCACTTTTCAAAGGGTAAAAAAATCGGTAAGAATCATTAAACAGTATGGCTGTACCCCTGAACATGCACAAGTTTCTCTGCAATATATTCCCACTTCCTACCCACAGGGAACTCCCATTCATCCGGGGATGTGTCAGTGGAGTCTTCCTGTTATGCAAAACAGGTACGTCATGTGGCTGGATAGGACCAATCGTTACACCATTATCTCTCATAATTTTAGATTTCCTTTATTATCGTCGTCATTGCAATGTCAGCGTTGAAGTGTTAGGCTGTACTGGTAGTATTCGTTGGTTGGGTGTTAAACGCCGCGTTCAGCAATATTCCAGCTATATGGCGGTGGGCTGTAAATTATTGAATCTGGACCCGACAACCCAGTGGTCAACAGTATGAGCATCGATCTACGCAATTGGGATACGATTAAATGTGTCAACCAAGACAGCGAGTATGACCACCGGATCCCGCTAGTCGACAAGCTGAAGAACAATTCTAACCCGATGTTGACGGGTTGTCCTGATAGTAGATAGAACTGGTGGTGTGTTGTCTCGTGCATTGAGCCCAGGTCACACATCCGTTCAATTGAATATTGAAGAAGTCTTTAGAAGGGGGAACGTGTTTGATTTTTAGGAGTTTCAAGGCCACATGTGGTCTCACCTTAGGCAAGTGAGTTTGTTCAAACTTGCTACTCATTATCAAGCGGCGGGATAGGTCTTATGGCTGTTTCTATACTACCTATCAACAGTTTAGACTCACTTAAAGCATTCACTATATGTTACGTACATACATATGGTTACATTGAAGATGAATTTCTATACTAACTTGAGGATACAACTGCAGACCTTATGCAGATGAATTGCACAAGGATCATGCATCAAATTGCTAAAAGGCATGTGCAAATATCGTGCATAGGAACAGCTGCGTTTTGGTGTAAAGTTGTGTTCAGAATTCGTCAATTTTCACTGAGTTTCATTATTTATTGAACTCATGGCAATGATGTTTTCAATGTTACAAATTTGTTTTACAATACAGGTTAATATATAGGGGTCATGGGACAATATCAGGAGACAACAGGTTAATATATGGGGGTCATGATAGAATATCAGGTCACGGGTTAATATATAGGGGTCATGAGAGAATATCAGGAGACCACGGGGTATTTTATAGGTTTCATAAAAGAATAAATGAATAAAAGAAGCACAAGTAAATATATGGAGAACATAAAATAATATGAAACTTGTTATACGAAAATAGCATCAGCAGTGCCAAATATTACGAGAGAAAATGCCACAACTGTTCACGAATACAAGGCAAGTAGATTTCGTCAAGATTCGTGCACCTAACCGAACCAATATACTATGGTTTGCACACATATTACTGCTCCGTTTCTTTATTCGTCTGCAGGTGTATTACAGTGTAGGGGACGGAATGCTCTTGTTGCCATTGTGTGTCAGAAACGGACAACCGTGGGACATAGCTGTCTTCAGACGGTCCAAGATGTGGAATCCAACGAAATTCTTCAAGCTGTTGGTCGACACATGCAATGAGCGTCTTGATCACAACAAGGCGGGCATCGCCCCCTCAACTCCCCCATCAAGGACCAGAGTAATGCTCAACGATAGAGTTCAGTATAAAATCATGAACGGACGGATTAAAGTTGTCAGTAGACTTATCCGTCTTGGACCCCACGAAGCCGAATTCGATGACGGCACTGTCCTGAAGAACTTGGACGCCGTTTTGTTTGCAACTGGATACGATTTTTCAGTAGACTTTATGGATGAGCCATTTCAAGGAAGTAACTTTAAGAAATGTGGAAATGTAAACACAAATCTGTTCGAGTCATCATTTAGAAAAGTCAAGCTTTTCTGTTTCTGTTATTCTTTATTTTTGAATAGACAATAGTCTCATGGCAGTTAACAATTACATTCAAGATATATGTCCCAGTTTTAAAGAATATGCCATGACACTTATGTACAGAAGTTACCAGGAAACTGATTGTGAAACATATTTCTATTCTTCCACATCCATACATTAGAGACTGACCACGGTGGTCTGGTTTAACAAGGCTGGGATTCTTTTGAAAGAATTGTTTCAGAGAACATTTTTTAAACGGCATCAAGTTTTGTCTTCCAAGAGATGGTTACACTTGTTGTCCTTGGAGAAACATACTACATAGAGAAATGTTACTGTCCTTCAGAGAAGTAACTATTTGTTGCAGAGGATCGAAAGCTGGGTCTGTACAAGATGATGTTCCCCCTACATCAGCACCACACGCTGTCTGTTGTGGGTTGTGTGGACTCCGATGGATCGATTCCAGCATTGGCGGAGCTGCAGGGCCGATTCGTTGCACTGGTGTATACCGGCAAGCTTCGCCTGCCTTCACTGAAAGTCATGACTGAGGTGACGGAGAAGATGAATGCAGATATCTTCGAAAAATATGGACGCTACAAATATCTGGTTAGTAAAACACCTGGCAAATGTACCACTAACCCTCTGTCTTATAGAACGACATTATTCCTAATACAGTCGATGCATGACTTCCTATCCATCCAAAGAAAGCATTTGAGACAAGTAAAATAGAAATAATATATATAAGAGACAAACCACTATGCTTAAAGCAAAGTATATTATATGATACCAAATACACTATGATCGTTATCAAATTTATTATTGATCACTTTCAAATAGTTATGACACCACATTTTCGCGACACTGTGAAGTCCCGGTAGCGTTTGTCGTAACATATGCAAAGGCAAGTCAAGTGTTTATCTGAAAAGACATTGGTACATACAAGTGAAAATAGCGAATTACATCAAACATTATTTGGTCACTGATATCTGTTTGCTATGTCCCCCACATGTCTACAGTAACAATGTTTTGATGAATCAGCTTCATTGAAATCCTCCTACATTGTCCTTCACAATGTGTTGAATGTGGACACCAAGGGTGAAGGTCAAGAGTCTTGCCCAACCTAATAGACGATCTGACTGGTGGAATGCTGACGTCTCCCATTTGAAATCTTTAAGCAAAGATCTAAGTACGATACAAATAGGTATCATTCCTGCATGAGGTCGGGAGAGAATGGATTATTTGACTATAATTGAATAATATCAGACCATGAACATCCCAGAAGCTTCTTGTCATTTACCAAGAACTGAGAATAAACTGTAATTCATTTCCACAAAAACTTTGTATGAACTATTGTGTCTGAAGTTTCTATAGCCTATATAAATTGTAACTACCGATGACATTTTCATGGATTAACAACAATTTAAACAATGCATACAATTGATATACTGACCCGAGTATACTACTAACAGATTCCATAGTCTTAAAATATCCAAACAAAAGTCCACTGCACGATTCCGTCATGGGTATTGTTTGTGAATTAACATCAAATAGCGATGATCAGTACAGTGACGTGTGAACGTCACAATCTGTACGGTTGACATTGAAACGTTTGAATGACCCAGTTTCAAGTAGCTTACCATCCTCGCTCATCACACTGCAGGATTGTCTCCTCAGATCTCTACTTCTCTGGATAATTCAATATTATGAACGGATAAATGGAAGATAGTTAAAAATGGGACGACCAAATGGATCTTTGGTACGACAAAATTTCGTTATCATCCAACGGCACGCACCACGTCGTGTCCAATAATTGTTGTGATAGTATGTCGGCCAACATATACTACCCATCAAAAGTTTAGACTCACCTCAAGCACTCACTATATCTTATGTATATATATATGGTTACATCGAGATGAATTTCTCCGCTAACTTGGGGGAACCAACTGCAAACCTTATGCAGATGAATTGCACGAGGATCATGCATCAAATTGCTGTAAAGCATGTGCAAATATCGTGCACGTGAACAGCTGCGTTGTGGTGTTACGTTTTGTTACTGAATATTTTATACTGAATGGAATATTTTGCAAAATCAAGTTTAGAACAGTTGCCTGGAGTAAGTGGCTACATTAACACTAGTGAGTCTAAACTTTTGATGGGTAGTGTATATATGGAAGCTAACATGAAATAGCAAAATACGTTTTAAACAATTACAACAATACCCAAATGGCCAAGGTTTATAACTTGAGGCACCATAATTATGCCAAATGTAACGTTAGCTATGTGAGTATACCGTGATTAAATTTATCGGGATTATTACAACCATTTAGAGTAGAGTGAGTATGGTTTTACGCCGACTTTTGCACTTTTCCAGCAATATCACGGCGGAGGTCAATCAGCAATATTCCAGCGATATGGCGGCGGTCTGTAAATAATCGAGTCTAGACCAGACAATCTAATGATCAACAGCATGAACATCGATCTACACAATTAGGATACGATGACATGTGTCAGCCAAGTCAGCGAGCCTGACCACCCAATCCCGTTAGTCGCCGCTTACGACAAGCGTGGGTTACTGAAAATCAATTCTAACCCGGATCTTCATGGGTTATCACGGTTGGGGACACCAGAAATGGGGAAACGTGGGGAATCCAGCTCGGGACTTCAGCGTGACGTGTAAACGCTTTAACCACTAGGCTATCCCAACCTCGCCATATAGCATATCCCGAGTCTACACGTATAGGTATAGGGTTAGAATATGGTTCTTCCATGACCCCCTGTGATATTGCTGGAATATTGCTAAAAGCGGCGTAAAACTAAACTCACTCACTCGCTCTTTCATGATCCCCTGTAAGTTGTCGTCAGAGGTTTTGACATGGAGTGGTGGGCATCCGTTGTCACTGCGTCACCGGTTCGTCTGGCCCAGAATATTTCCAGATTTAAGTATTCCCTTCCTCAATAAAAACCCCAACATATCAGGTACTATGAAATATATGTTAAATATTTCAGATACCCAACCTTCCTTATCGAGACGACATTGCAAAGCAGATGGGCGTTGCCCCCTCCTTGTTTGACTTGATCAAGGCAGGTCCAAGACTCGCCTACCAATACTACTACGGACCTGCCTTCCCATACCACCATCGACTGTGGGGGCCGCATTCCTGGAGCGGAGCCAGAGAAGCGATCGACAATGCCACAGAACACGGGCACTATGGCAAGCAAATGCGACATGTCCAAGGGCCGGACATTCCTGCAACAAACCGCTTCCTCAGATTCATAATTGTTTCTGCAATGATTGCCATGTTGGCTTTGGCCTATCAGAAGAGGGAATGTTTCTGGTTGTCAGGGTGACTTGGTTAAATGCTATACAGCAAATAGACTACGGAGGGTCAAATTACCTGCAAATACCACAGCGAATTATTTGTCTTGTATGATAAGACAGATGCACATGTATTTGTAAGCAGTTTAAGTTTTTGGAAAGAATATGTTATAGTACTTACTGCTGGATAAGGTACTATTTGCAACGTTGTTACTTTCTGCACAGAGTTACTTCCCGTCGATATGTCAGTTTGTGGGCCTTGAGGAGTGGAAAATATTTGGCAAACATGACTATGTTTACTGAGATATTTTTAATGTATTTTACTGAAGACCTGGACACACTGTACTATGTTGTATGCATAATTATACAACCTACTGTATATCGTTCGTATACTACACATCAAAGGTTTAGACTCACTTAAAGCACTCACTAAAGTACTGTCGGAAATGCTAGAAAAATGCTTTTTACCCTTAATATCTTTATAAAGGTGATAAATGTACTATGTTGTCAATATATCAACTCGCCTATTGTCTACCTAATTTTTATTTCAATCGATTTAACATTCCCATGCATTTAAAGGGCAGTTTACAGGAGAGAATTTGGTACCAAAGCAGCAACTTAAACAACAGAAATCTGAAATAGTCTTTACATTTATGCTAATAATACAGGTGGTGTAAAAATATAAATTAACATTTTTCCTACACAAATAAATGTTGAATGTTCATGTTACTTTACTTAATTATCGTTTTCTTTATTGAAGAAATATTAATATAAATGTTAAGTCTTAATAAACAAGTTTCCCGTCATGCATGCACATCTTTATCATAGCGTCCACTATGGCCAACGATTTGCAGTCGGTTGTTGCAAAGCTTTATAGGTTTTTCTGCTTAAAAAAGACAGAGGTAACCTTTCATTAGTTTAGAAAGGGTTTATTACAGAACTTGCAGAGCTGTTGGCATGTCTTACCAACAAGTTTACAATATTGTAAACAAATCAGACAAGACAGGGACCGTCTCAAATGCAAAACCGGGACGTAAAACCATCTTTGACAACTTTGACAAGGGAATGCTTAGACGGGCGGTCTACAAACTTTATGAGAAGAAAAATATATATATTCTAAAGAATCTACACCAGTGACTTCGTTCAATCTTTGGCCAATGTTCACAACTGACCGAATTACATCCATATTTGTTCAATGAAATATACTGTTGACATGCAAAACATTTATTAAAACGTTGCACATTTCTACAATCAATCGATAAGATAACACAAGTGATAGGATTCTTTCCAATGTACAGTAATTCGTATGTTTATTTCAAAACAAACACACACACGCAAATGATCCCTTACATAACTGATACGTATACTATACGTACACATATTCAACATTTTGAACAAAACATCTATTAAATGACCCCTCACCCGAGCGTGTGCTCAGGTGTCAATTTCACCTGTCGATACCGTGCATGCTGATGATGTAACACAGGCAGTTAATGTTTGTATCAAATAACGTCCCACTACCCCTTATTTTTCTAAGTTTTTGGTATTTTCATCAATAAAAACACATTTTAGATCATGTCTCAAAATTTATTCCCTCGGTCTACATTAGGTAGATGTTTCTTGAAGTGATATTTGTTATTTAAGTATCTGTAATACCTCTGAATTTTAAATATAAGTCAAAAAGCATTTTTCTAGCATTTCCGACAGTACTTTATATGTTATGTATATACATGGTTACATCTAACATGAATTCCTTCACTAACTTTGGGGAACCAACTGCAAACCTTATGCATATGAATTGCATGAGGTCCATGCATCAAATTGCTGAAAAGCATGTGCAAATATCGTACATGTGAATTGCTGCATTTTGGTGTGAGGTTTTGTTAAGAATTCGCCAATTTTCACTGAGTTTCATCATTTATTTAACTCATGAATAATCTTTTCAACGTTACGAATTTGGTTTACAATACATCATTTCATGTGAAAACTGTACCGTTAAACCTTATGGAGTATTTTGCAACATTTAGTTCAGAACAGTTGACTGAAGTAAGTGGCTACATTTACGCTAGTGAGTCTAAACTGTTGATTGGTAGTATATTATACAGGAGTATTAAATTACATTCAAACACCAGCTGCTGCCTGGTTCCAGAGCTGACAGCTACAATATGTAACTCGCCATTATGTAGCCTGAATAAATAATCGGGAAAACGTCAGGCAACTTTGCTAACAAACAAAAGATTTTCACAAGACGTATGGGTGCGCCGTTCTATTAACATGAGGAACCTCCCTTTGATTAATCTTCATGATTGCAGCTTTTATCACTACATGTATCCTTTTATAGATAGTCTAACAAGATTAGCGTCCTATTAACTGTGTGTACACAGTGAACAATAAACAGTATAAAGGAATTTGTAAAGGCTTGTAAACATTGCACTATGAAAGGCTTTGACTGTTTATGTATCAGATTAATAAAGTTAGGTTTTTTTTCTTTGTTTGAAATGTGTTTATTCCTCTCTATAAAAAGGGCGATTCTGAAGATCCAACACTGTTGTAGTGGGTTATTATTTCACATCGTAGAATACGCTGCTGGCTTGATTTGGAATAAAATAATGTAAAGATTTTAACACGTCTTAGTCGGAACATAAATCAAATGAAAGAAGCTTTCAATGGATCTGGGCCGGTGGGGTAGCCTAGTGGTTAATCACGCCCATCACGCCGAAAACCCGGGTTCAATTCTCAACATGGGTACAATGTGTGAAGCCCATTTCTGGTGTCCCCCGCCGTGATATTGCTGGAATATTGCTAAAAGCGGCGTAAAACTAAACTCACTCACTCTTAATGGATCTGATAAGTAAAATGAACCACAACAAACTTTTTAAAAAACAACAACAAACAAACCCAGAAATCTCCTGTAAATGTTGAGTTAGTTTTACGTAAACATGTGTTAGTCGGGTCAGTAAATATCCACATAATTGTCGATTCTGTTGTGCTCTCCCTGTGATGTCTGCACTCCCCACAAACAACCCAAACCGCCCCTTTTGGCACGCAAGCAACCTATCATCGTGGGGTCAAATCTGGGTTCGATCTCGTCAGTTTTCAAGGTTTGTCAGTACCATACCAGTGTTCCTCAGTTTCACCCAATTCTATACGTATGCCACTTGCTTCACTTCGGGCTTTCCTCCCCCGTTAAACCGTGATATAACTGACATATTGTTCCAAAGGTGTCCTCCCATTACGCAGACAGCCAGTTCGCAGACACCTTAAACAAACAACATTTACGGTTCAGTGAACAGATTATCTACTACCTGTTACCTACACAATATAATGGAATAGTCCAAATAAAAACGCAGGAACAACATGAAGCTATATTATTTATTTTGAAAGATGGACGAAAAGACAGTAACATGAATTTTTATTGCTGCAATATAAAAACAGTTTATTTTCATAAACATTTCGGTTTAACCTTCTAGTCTAACGGGAGTCGGCATCATCATATTGAAAACATTAGCTTAGCTATTAGAAATCGCGACACTGTTGTATCATATAAATCAAATAAAGACAAATGTGAACCTAAATATTATTCATATGGAATAAATACGTTGTATGTTTTGCACACAATATTAAGATATATGACGAGTGCACTTAATTACGATTTATTCAGAATAAATATTTAAAATATGACACATCATGTCAATGTGGCCATGGATGTGAGAATGTTTTTCATTACTTCCTTGAATGTCCATTGTACACTACTCAAAGACATAAACTGTTACAATCATTAGAAACGATTGTTAAAATTAGAACACTGATTTGTATTAATCGTATCTTACATGGCAATGCAGGTGTCTCATTTACTGCAAATCAGAATGTTTTCAAATATGTGCATGTCTATATCACTCCAACAAAACGTTTTCTCAGTTAACTTCTGTTGTACATATGCTATTATTGGGAGGGGACCTTTCTAACAATAAACACAATCAAACCTCTCAGTGACAAACCTGTTTTATATTCGATAGTAATTAATAGTAAAAACAATTTTGAGAAGAGAAATCATTTAGCATTTAAACACAACAAATTTCTATTTACCTACAATCAAACTTCTCAATAACAAACCTGTTTCAGGCTCACCCTGCTCTACTCACTAGACAGTGGACTGTTCCATTATACCCATAGGTGTAACCCTAATTAACCTTCTAGTTCAGTGTCTGTCAATTGGGTGTCTGTGTGTCTGTCAAATGGGAGATAACCGTTCCAAAAGACGTTAAACGGAACCCACTCACTCACTCACGCTTGACTTGAAGCAGTGAACATGAAAGTGAACATGTGACCATCGAACTTTTACATTATGCATCGTTGTTGATATATATCAGTATATTAAACTTTAAGATTGTCTGGTCCAGATTCAATTTTATTTACAGCTGGAACATTGTTGCGTTAAACGACAATCAGGCAAATTAAATTCATAAGTAAAGACAACTTGTATACACTCCTCTTCAGTCATTTCACAGTCACTTGTTCAGACATACTTTGGTTTGTTTGTGTTGCATTGGGTTTTTCGTCGGTCTTCTCGTCACATGTCTCCTGTTTTCGCTGTACCTACTCGTAACACATTAACATTACTAGCGTGGAACCTCACGTATAATCTGCATTGTACACCACAATGGGAAGTAAAAATGCGTAAATGTACGGGCACTCACGCGGGTGTTCTTAAAATGGAAAACAAGATCACTACCAAGAAGTTCTCTTTTAAGAAGAACGAGGTCACTTAACCTGAACAAGGTCGATCTACCTCTGTGTATGTATAGTGTGCGGTACCAGTATATCATCTACAGTCCTCCTATTAACATGGAAAACACTTGCATCCCTAAACAAGGGCGACGCCACAGAGTTGTGACGACAATATGTATACTGACTCTTGTCATCTCAGCAGCGCTGAACATATCGATGATTGTTCTTGTTTTGTTGCATACATTTTCTCGCAGTCACCCTGTAATCACAGCCGATACAAAGCGCATTGGGCAGGGATCTTTGTGCATTCCGTGTGAAACGCATAGGAGAGAGAAACGTACCTTGGCTCACTCCGAGTATGCCGATGTGGTACTTCTTCAGGGACGTCGGATATGCTGTCTGAGACATGCTAAGGGTCTAACACATCTTGTGTAACTTGTCAGTAAAGTGGTACATGTAACTAAAGACATATTTCGTATTAATAAACAGCCAACTATCAGCTGAATTTAGTGATTGAGTTTAGTTTTATACCACACTCAGCAATATTCCAGATATATGGCGGCGGTCAGTAAATAATCAAGTCTTGACCAGACAATCCAGTGATCAACAGCACGAGCATCGATCTGTTGAATTGGAAACCGATGACATGTGTCAACCAAGTTGGCGAGCCTGACCACACGATCCCGTTAGACGCCTCTTACGACAAGCATGGGTTACTGAAGATCAATATTCTAACCCGGACCTTCACGGGTCAATGGAAGTTAATAAGAAAGGCTTAACATGTTGGATTTTGACAAATCTGAGTATGACTCGTCCTAATACCCGTTGAACGGTTTTTGGAGTATGTGATAGTTTCCGAGCTTAAAGTGTGAGGAATGCACAAGTGATTCAGGTATCAGTTTTTGAAATTTACTACTGGAAAATCAAATGAGCCTGACAATAAAGCGGACAACTCCAGACCTGTAATTACGGTGAACTGGAGAATCGAGTAAATTGCTGTGAAAACCATTCTGGTATTTCAGTCTCTAACAAGAGCATTGTCTGATACATTGTCATCAAGTGTATATTTGATTAATATTTAATAATTAATTATGTTTGCAAACTGACCATCCAAATTGTCCACTTGTGTTAAAAATAGGTTTTTATTCTGTAAATAGAATAGTCGTGTATAATAAAAGACCAAAGTGATGCATTATTCTTTATCACACTGGTGAATCCCACCATTATAAAGATATAAAGATACTGGATCCCACTCAAGAATCGATGGATCCCACTCTGAAAAATCGTGGATCCCACTCAAGATCATTCGATCACTCCTCTGACACACCTCTTCACAGAGAATTGGCACCTAATCTGTGATATCGTGGATCCCACTCAAGATCATTCGATCACTCCTCTGACAAAACTCTTCACAGAGAATTGGCACCGACTCTATGATACGTACGCTATTAACATAGCCAGAGTGTTGCTATAATACGACCAAAACGTACATTATATTCTCTGCAATGAACCTTGGCAATCTATTTTTAAATATATAGCTTAACCCAAATGAGTCCATGCTCTTGATTATTCTAATACCGTTTAAATGTTCTGATACATGTGTGTTTATTGCAGATGTCATGCTACTTCTTTGAACACAGAGAACTGAACTCTGACTCGGGCAGGGCACGTCACATTCATCAAGGCGACGTCAAAGCTTCAGCCCACGTGTTCCTTAATCAGGTCACATTTAAGGGTACGTCTTGCAATGGTTATTTTAAGCATTATCTAGTTCTGTACAAATCGTGTTTCACTGGAGCAAAACACAAGTTTTGATATTGTTTGTTTTCATGTCGGTTAATACACAATTGCATGGAGTCCCTCTCTGTTGAACACATGTTTGTAAACGAAGCACTGAAAAATCAGTGATGGTACCAGGTGTTCGCATAAAGGGTAGCATCCGCTTGTGAAATATTTGAAATATTTATCCCAAATATTAGAACTCGAAAATAAGGACAAATATGTTTATCGTTATTCTAATAATGATTGTCATCATCAATTACAAATAAAATGCGTCGTATGTTTGCAGGAACCCATCTTGTGTGGAGCACAAAGCCCGGTTATGGAAGTGCCCATGTCACTGGTGCCATAATATTGGAAGACAACTCATTATTTATCCCAAAAGACGGTTTATTTTTCGTATATTCCTCTCTGACGTTTATTGTACGTCGTGGTGACATCACAAAGATGCATGTGACATATTCGTTATTACGTCACAATCCATGTTATTCTCCTGTGCCAGACATTTTACTACTAACAAACGTTAGTCTTCTTCATGGAGCGGGGCTGTTCACGGCAATAACTTTAGAGGAAAGCTTTTCCTTGAGGCGGTGAGATGTTCTGTCCGTCTTCGTGTTAAACTATTCTTATGTTTACCCGTTCGGTTTTCTTCATCAAACTATTTTGATGTTCGCCAGCTTTAGCACAAAACCTTAGAACGAAACTCTGTTCAAATATTTACAGTAATTATATATCATGTAAAACAATAAAAATAAAAGAAATGTTAGAATACATCCAGCTGTTGATTTATGTGACAAATAGAAAAAGACTGTTTGTTTTGGGTGGGTGAGGGTTGGGGTGTGTGGGTGGGAGGGGTGGGGTTTTTGTGGGTGGGAATGGTGGTGGTAGTGTGGTGGTTGTGAAACGGGGTTTAAGGACGTGTGACACGTGTACTGATGTGCGGATTCAGACAACAAACTTCCATGTGCAAGCTGTTGCTGGTGCTGCCGTTATTGCAGACCATGCTGTCCCCGTTTTGCGAACACCTGGTGTCACTACACAATTTCAGCGATCCGATCATGTCATTTTCACTGATGTTTTGCCTTTTACCTGCAGTGGAATCTGTTTTAACGTATAATCGACGATTCGTATTAAACAGTAATACATGTTACTGTCAGCATCGATATTCCATTAATATAATATTAATAACATACCAATATTTATCACACACAAAATTACATTTCAACATTTTACAGTGATTAATCTATAATAACGGATGGAAGGTGTAATACTGTATAGGGCTGTTGCAGCACATTAAGGCCGTAAGACTCGTCTGAAGCTGCTTCAAAATGTATTTCAGCTTTAGGAAATTACGGTAATAACGAAGTCAAGGGGACCCTAAGTCAAGGGAATCAAAGTGGACCACTGCCTCAAGGGGATCACTGACTCAAGGGGACCAGTAACCCAAGGGGACCACTGACTTATGGGAACCAGTAACTCAAGGGGACCACTGCCTCAAGGGGATCACTGACTCAAGGGGACCAATAACTCAAGGAGACCACTGACTCAAGGGGACCAATAACTCAAGGGGACCACTAACTCATTGGGACCATTAACACAAGGGGACCACTAATCCAAGGGGACCACAAACTCAATGGGACCACTAACCCAAGGGGACCACTAACACAAGGGAACCAATAACTCAAGGGGACCACTGACTCAAGGGGACCAATAACTCAAGGGGACCACTAACTCAAAGGGAGCACTATCTGTAAATTGCTTGTCGCTGTTATTATAACTTTAATTCAAAGTCGTGAGAACAGTACATGTTTTTGCCCTCAATAATGTTTATTTAATTAAAATATATTATATGTGTGAGGATATTTTACAAAAACACAAGAACGCGATAGGTCCTGGCCGACGTGGTGCTGTAGGTAGAGTGAGTGAGTGAGTTGGTTTTTACGCCGCAGTTAGCAAAATCCCTGCGAGAGACACCAGAAATGGTCTTCATACATTGTACCCATGTGGTGAATCGAACCCGGGCCTTCTGCGTGGCGAGTGAACGTTTTAACCACTAGGCTATCCCCGCCCCGCAGTAGCACTAAGTGGACAGTGGTGTTACGTTGAGTCAATGTCACCTCCGCTCACCTCTCACAAAAGGTTTTCTGATTATCGATTCTTCCTGAATTATGCAGTACCAGAACAAGAACTATTTTCCATTCACACCTGACTGACTGACTGAGTTTGGTTTTACGCCGCTTTTAGCAATATTCCAGCATCATCACGGCGGGGGACACCGGAAATGGGCTTCACACAATGTACCCATGTGGGGATTCGGGTCTTCGGCGTGACGAGCCAACGCTTTAACCACTAGGCTACCCCACCGCTCCCATTCACACCTGATACTGAAATTGAATGAACAAACATTTCTGACTAAATACGGCATTATGAATTAGAAAATCAACGTTAATGATCACTTAAAAAAGAAAACATCATTCTTACATTTGTATCCTTTGATCTATTTCAACAATGAGTAAACCAAGTAATGTAAGATGAGGAGAATAATGTAAGATGAGGAGAATAATGTAAGATGAAAAAGTATTGATAACATTGATAACACAAGACAAAAAAGGAAATTCCGGTGCATGTTGTTCTTTAAGATATGACGAATACTGCATCTTCGCTATATATTCATGATCCTTTTTGTTGCTGCCTCAAACAGTTGGTTCACCCGTGCGTGTACGACATAAATCATGTACTATTTATTCAGCTGTTGCAGGATAGTAACACTGCAGAGGTAACATATGGCAAAACTCTATTTAAGGCAGTACACGTAAATAAGCGACATTATTTAGCAACTGAAATACACATATGGCCTCGTAAGTGATGGGATATGGACAGGATACCATAGAACAAAGTATGTCACTGCATAAACACAAATGTAAAATACAATATATGTTATTCAACTGCCACTTTTGTCTATGTTAGTACACGTGAGTATGTATAAATGAATGTTAAACACAGTTACATGTAAACAATATTCAACTTTGTCACACTTATAACATATGTTATATTTGGGATTACACTTTCTTAGTAAACCATAACATATGTGTACATTTGACCACTTTCTAAATGGCATTGTGTATTCATTTGTCACACTTGTATGGGGTAATAAGGTTGGTAAACCAACAATTATTAACATTACTTAAGGCACTGGTCAATTTTCGGGGTGGACGGAATAAATATACGTTCAAGTATCGAATACAATGCTTCTTTGTAGAACGTTTGACCCTATGGTATTACATGGATATAACACATTGGCCACCAATAAAATCATCAATCACAAACATATTCAAGTCGAGAGTATTCAGCGCCCTCTTTATCCGGTATAATCAAGGCAGATCACTCCTGTTCAGGATCTGGTAGAGAAATGTCTATATGATACGTCTTACTCAGAGGCACCACAAACAAGACACCCAGGAGCCACATCTCCTCCGAAAAGATCACACATTACAAATTAAGAACACAACATTAACAATGAAAACAGAATCAACCATGAAAGCTGACAGAACAATGTACACCAAAAGGTGATCGTTCTATTCTAATAAGAAGATTATAAAAAAAATCCACAAACTTGATACAAGTTTCTTCCATGTGTCTACCATGCACGGTCGTCAGCACAACATCGGTGTAATTAAACCAATTACAGATTATGAGTCGTCGGTACACATAAATAAATACATTGAAGTAGCTGCTGACTGTTTCAATGGGAATACTAAGACACGAAATAGTCAAATCTGAAGGACTTTCATTACGAATTATAGAACTGGGCTGAAGCAGTTACAAGGAGACTTTGAAGTCAAAGGAGCTAATTTTAATTATACAAATTTTGATTTCATTGGTTAAATTTCTGTAAACTTTATATTCACCGCACATTATAGCAGTTTTATACAACAATGGCATTTTGGAGGTTTGAATCTTCAGATCAACCTTACCAGTAGTGGTTTTGTACACCAGATCGAAGTGCTTGGGCGATCTTCCTACCAAATAGACGCCAAAGAAATTAGAAGGAGGAAATGGGTAAGAATACGCTCTTTATGTCCCTACGAAATACAAGCCAAAGAAATTGGATGGTGGAAACCGGTAGATATACGACATGTTGCTGACGTGTACAAACACGTGATCATCTTGTCTCAGCCTGACTGTAGCCGACAGGAAGCTTGTGACGAATCTTTCACTCACTTCCGGCATCGTCTTCTTGGCCAAAAGGATTACAGTGCTGCCAAGGTTTGGCAGGTGTGTGTTGGTCCTTCTGATGGTGTGGATGATGTTTTCAGGACGTCGCCGTCGTTGGTGGGTCTTGAACGTGAAGAAGGAGTAGATGCAGTATAGGCCTGACTTTGTTACCCGCAGTGTGTTGTTGTCAGAGTAGATGTCGTTGCTTCTGTAGGCGGAACCGTAACCATATTCCTCGGTCCATTCCAAAGAAGGTTCTGGATGGAATTAAAATTGGTTAACGTCCCGTTAACTAAACTTCACACATGTGTGACGTCAATGCATTTGGTGTTCTTAGTGTACTATCAGTACAGGGAAGGAACCAAAAATGCCAATTGAATTTAATGTTCAAAGTCTAATACAAAACTAAATTTACTTCTATGTTAGCTAACATATGTACAACATACCCTGGTTATAATGCCATCGTTTGTCCAGGAGGAAATATGGCATTATATCCAGGGTGACAATATAACCAGGTAGGACCTCAGCAGGATGGTTGGTGGTACGACATTACCACCTGCATCATTGTGTCCTGCAATGATCCTTAACGGACTGGATAATCCCAGCGTCTTGGGGCTGCAGGTGACTTCTTGTTGTAGGTGTTCACCAGTGCCACTAATTAGAACAGTCCAACATCCACTGTCCAGCGACCTCCTAATCCCTTATCCAAACATTCAGATATGGGGGAAAGAGAGGTTAAACCGGCAGGAAGTGTATAGTCACATGTGTTGAATACTTAAATCTTTAATGAGTTTGTTCAATGAATCTGGGTCATATCAATTAACCAATTAAGTTATGTATACTACACGCAGACAGTGTAATTGGCATAATAACCAGGGAAAATTTCTTTTGTTCCAAAAACAATTGGCATTGTATCCAGGGTGGCATTATAACCAGGGTGCACTGTAGTGGCTTGAATACTGGACACCATGATCGTCACCACTTCTCGCCAACTAAACGTGCATACTCATATTTATCACGATGAGGTTCGGTGTTACAGAGAAATGGCCGTGTTTCACTACAAGAAACGTTTATTCTGATCTCGGTTTCCAGGAATTTACCGTTTCATACAGTGCCTTCTTGAACGAATATTCGTGCGGGTTCAAGGCCCAAACCAGATCAAACTCCCGACTGGTAATATTACGTGTGTTCTTATGTATCTACGCGAGGCAATATATTACAAAAATACGTCATCCCTGTCATACACAAATAATACAGATCAACGCATCCTGAAATTATTACCCCACGTTATTACTCTGAACTCTGTATACGTACTTGCTGCAGTCAATGCGTCACTTTCAAGATACACATGGGCTCCAGTGTAAATACTTTGAATGACTGTGGAGTCATTGTTGTTGGTGTCTTGGTTCCTGGTCCTGGTTGTATCAAAGAATCGGTCAGCGAACTGAAATGTTATAAAAAAAAGAACGTTCGTACCAATTTGATCTGTTTCCTGTTGTTGGTGCTTTGGTTCCTGTTGTCATGGAAATAGTCTGTTGAATTATTATTTTATTTGACTTGTGTGGAAAGATCACATTCATATTCGAACTGTAATATTGACTCTTCTAAATACAGGTCATCTGCTGATCATCATAAACTGAAATAAAATACCTCATAAATTTACTGAAAGCTGTTTCAGACATCCTAAAGCAAAACAAAGTACTCAAAGGTTGTTTTTTTCAGGCATCAGCATAAGTAGGTGGGTATGTTTTACATATTTAGCAATATTCCAGCAATATGACGGCGGGCAACACCAGAAACGGGCTTCACGCATTGTGGTTAATCGAATGCGGGTCTACGGCGTGACGAGCCAACGCTGTAACCCTTAGCCTACCCCACCATCCAGTCAGCATAAGTAAAGTTCGTGGCACTCCTGAATTGACCAGACTGGAATAATCGAACAGTTATCTATTAGTCATGCTAGCCAACTTCGATGTTACAAAATCCAATAGCAGGCTACCTATGTTTTCCAGCCCTCCTACATTCTACTTACAGATCTCCTAAGACCTACTCCCCTTATGAAATCAAATCACCAATAAAACCAGTTGGGTTTAAAACATTATTAACATTACTTAAGGCACTGGTCAATTTTCGGGGTGGACGGAATAAATATACGTTCAAGTATCGAATACAATGCTTCTTTGTAGAACGTTTGACCCTATGGTATTACATGGATATAACACATTGGCCACCAATAAAAATCATCAATCACAAACATATTCAAGTCGAGAGTATTCAGCGCCCTCTTTATCCGGTATAATCAAGGCAGATCACTCCTGTTCAGGATCTGGTAGAGAAATGTCTATATGATACGTCTTACTCAGAGGCACCACAAACAAGACACCCAGGAGCCACATCTCCTCCGAAAAGATCACACATTACAAATTAAGAACACAACATTAACAATGAAAACAGAATCAACCATGAAAGCGAAGATTATAAAAATCCACAAACTTGATACAAGTTTCTTCCATGTGTCTACCATGCACGGTCGTCAGCACAACATCGGTGTAATTAAACCAATTACAGATTATGAGTCGTCGGTACACATAAATAAATACATTGAAGTAGCTGCTGACTGTTTCAATGGGGAATACTAAGACACGAAATAGTCAAATCTGAAGGACTTTCATTACGAATTATAGAACTGGGCTGAAGCAGTTACAAGGAGACTTTGAAGTCAAAGGAGCTAATTTTAATTATACAAATTTTGATTTCATTGGTTAAATTTCTGTAAACTTTATATTCACCGCACATTATAGCAGTTTTATACAACAATGGCATTTTGGAGGTTTGAATCTTCAGATCAACCTTACCAGTAGTGGTTTTGTACACCAGATCGAAGTGCTTTGGGCGATCTTCCTACCAAATAGACGCCAAAGAAATTAGAAGGAGGAAATGGGTAAGAATACGCTCTTTATGTCCCTACGAAATACAAGCCAAAGAAATTGGATGGTGGAAACCGGTAGATATACGACATGTTGCTGACGTGTACAAACACGTGATCATCTTGTCTCAGCCTGACTGTAGCCGACAGGAAGCTTGTGACGAATCTTTCACTCACTTCCGGCATCGTCTTCTTGGCCAAAAGGATTACAGTGCTGCCAAGGTTTGGCAGGTGTGTGTTGGTCCTTCTGATGGTGTGGATGATGTTTTCAGGACGTCGCCGTCGTTGGTGGGTCTTGAACGTGAAGAAGGAGTAGATGCAGTATAGGCCTGACTTTGTTACCCGCAGTGTGTTGTTGTCAGAGTAGATGTCGCTGCTTCTGTAGGCGGAACCGTAACCATATTCCTCGGTCCATTCCAAAGAAGGTTCTGGGTGAAATTAAAATTTGTTAACGTCCCGTTAACTAAACTTCACACATGTGTGACGTCAATGCAGTTGGTGTTCTTAGTGTACTATCAGTACAGGGAAGGAACCAAACATGCCAATTGAATTTGATGTTCAAAGTCTAATACAAAACTAAATTTACTTCTATGTTAGCTAACATATGTACAGCATACCCTGGTTATAATGCCATCGTTTGTCCAGGAGGAAATATGGCATTATATCCAGGGTGACAATATAACCAAATAGGACCTCAACAGGGTGGTTGGTGTTACGGCATTTCCACCTGCATCATTGTGTCCTGCAATGATCCTTAACGGACTGGATAATCCCAGCGTCTTGGGGCTGCAGGTGACTTCTTGTTGTAGGTGTTCACTAGTGCCACAAATTATAACATAACAGACCATAGTCCAACATCCACAGTCCAGTGACCTCCTAATCCCTTATCCAAACATTCAGATGTCGGGGAAAGTGAGGTTAAACCGGCAGGAAGTGTATAGTCACATGTGTTGAATACTTAAATCTTTAATGAGTTTGCTCAATCAATCTGGGTCATATCAATTAACCAATTAAGGTATGTTCCAAAAACAATTGGCATTGTATCCAGGGTGGCATTATAACCAGGGCATTATAACCAGGGTGCACTGTAGTGGCTTGAATAATGGACACCATGATCGTCACCACTTCTCGTCAAACTAAACGTGCATACTCATATTTATCACGATAAGGTTCGGTGTTACAGAGAAATGGCTGTGTTTCACTACAAGAAACGTTTATTGTGACCTCGGTTTCCAGGAATATACCGTTTCATACAGTCCGTTCTTGAACGAATATTCGTGCTGCGGGTTCAAACCCCAAACCAGATCAAATTCCCGACTGGTAAAATTACGTGTGTTCTTATGTATCTACGCGAGGCAATACATACAAAACTAAGTCATCCCAGGCATACAAACATAATGCAGATCAACGCATCCTGAAATTATTACCCCACGTTATTACTCTGAACTCTGTATACGTACTTGCTGCAGTCAATGCGGCACTTTCAAGATACACATGGGCTCCAGTGTAAATACTTTGTACGACTGTGGAGTCATTGTTGTTGGTGTCTTGGTTCCTGGTCCGGGTTGTATCAAAGAATCGGTCAGCGAACTGAAATGTTATAAGAAAAAGAACGTTCGTATCAATTTGATCTGTTTCCTGTTGTTGGTGCCTTGGTTCCTGTTGTCATGGAAATAGTTAGTTGAATTATAATTTTATTTGACTTGTGTGGAAAGATCACATTCATATTCGAACTGTAATATTGACTCTTCTAAATACAGGTCATCTGCTGATCATCATAAACTGAAATAAAATACCTCATAAATTTACTGAAAGCTGTTTCAGACATCCTAAAGCAAAACAAAGTACTCAAAGGTTTATTTTTTTCAGGCATCAGCATAAGTAGGTGGGTATGTTTTTACATATTTAGCAATATTCCAGCAATATGACGGCGGGCAACACCAGAAACGGGCTTCACGCATTGTGGTTAATCGAATGCGGGTCTACGGCGTGACGAGCCAACGCTGTAACCCTTAGCCTACCCCACCATCCAGTCAGCATAAGTAAAGTTCGTGGCACTCCTGAATTGACCAGACTGGAATAATCGAACAGTTATCTATTAGTCATGCTAGCCAACTTCGATGTTACAAAAATCCAATAGCAGGCTACCTATGTTTTCCAGCCCTCCTACATTCCTACTTACAGATCTCCTAAGACCTACTCCCCTTATGAAATCAAATCACCAATAAAACCAGTTGGGTTTAAAACATTATTACTACTCATTGTTATGTTGATTTATGCTGCTCTGTCAATGTGGAAAACACGTAATTATGAAAAACATAATTGTCATAATTAGTCATAAGACTGCAGTCACGCCTCCGCGTGACTCAACTCGTGACAGTCTCCCATTGTTAACCTGTCCCATAAACCAGATGCTATGTAATCGTACATCCGAGTTAAATACACTTTAAACAGACTTACGATTCGCTTGGGATATCACCTATAAATAATATATACAGCTCAGCATGACATCTAAGTGCTACACCACTATGTGTTTACTGTCTGCTCGGCCCTAATTTAAGAACCAACGAATCCATTGTCAGTGAAACATTAAAACACACAAGTCTCGAAACCAGATCGTAAATCATGTTATCTGCAAGTCTGTACTGGTAATCTTGTAGGGTAACAGGTTGGGACTATCCCACAACCATGGTACATCCTAGTATCGCCGAATTATGGTCTTTATAGACAGAATCATTATTACCAATATTGCTCATATCGGCACCAATAATATCACCTAAATCGTTATCATGATATAAACCTATGTTTTCTAACACATTTATTAAGCATGAAGCAATTAAGACTCAAAAGAGAGTAAAAATAAACTCACAATCGCCAATAGCCGCTGAAGCCCTTCAGCATTTTCCAGACAGCAGACGGAAGTTGAATCAGTCACGTGATGCACGGTTATACCGTGCAAGTCGGTCCTCCTGTGATTGCCCGGATGAACACCGACAGAAAAGCAGTCCATGCATATTGTGCCCTTGTCTACTGCAGACACAAGAGCGTCAGTAGACAGACTGCCACTGTCAGTGTCGTGGATATCAACGTGTTTCCATAGGTAAAACGTCAACACAATGTTCAGTAACAACGATAACAAAACTGCAGATAACACGATGCATTGCTTGATCGTGCAGGACGTCCTCGGGTGGGGTGACGACTGTGTGGGATGAAGGCCGTCCACCTTTGTGTAACTGTAGACAGACCTTCTAGGTGTTGTCGGGAGATCAAAGGTCACTGTAGACACTTTGAATTTCCCGTTGGGCTGTCCCAGCAACAAGGACAGGGCACCCATAGTTCTCAGCCGAAGTCCCGTCCGTTGTGGTAACACGTAAACAAACTAACTCTGTCGCTGAGCGTCATAGTCTATAAATAGATGGCGGGCCTATCTTTCATGTGTTGTTACGTTTTGCACTAAAATAGACTCTTCCTGCTTGTATAATCTATCAATAAAGGTCAACGCCTTTACATTTCTTTGAGAGGCATTTTACAAGAAGTGAGCTGAAGGAAAACCAAGTTCTTTACATTAGCATTGCTGTTTTTAGAAACATTCACACACTGTTGTGCAGTCACAAGCCGAATCGATTTCTAGACGCCTTTATATTGTTGTCAATGGCTGACGGGTCACGATGGCCTGATGAAACGAGCTTGTGAGATCGGATCAGGATACTCCAGTCCAGGCGGTTAGCCCAATCTTGAGTGCTGATCTAAATAGATCCTTAAGCATAAATCATCCAGATAAGACGTTTTCCTGTTGATATCATTTCGAAACGATTAATCAGCAAAGCTTCACACAATGGCGACTAGGTAAAGACCTGGATTTAGTGTGCATGGTTATGTACGCTGCCTAAACGTGTTAGTAATCAGCAGATTTAAAGAGGAATATTTCGGCCAACAACGTTAGATAACATCTCACTCCTACATATAGAAACGAGACAATAGTTTATATACAGATAAAATTTGCACTTAAAGAGACCTTTGTTGCTTCCATGAGTTGATATAAAATGTTCAGCTTATGTCCGTCTATCTATCCAGCCATCTAATATAAACTGTCGTCTGATCAAGGTGAGGCGATGTGAAATTGGGTTTAACGTCGTGCTTGAGAATATTTCGCTCATATGACGACGTGCATGCGTGTGTATGTGTATGTGCGGCTGCTTGTACTAGCCCAGACTTAAGCTGGTTTCATAGTGCTAGCCCACTGAGATACCATGCCGCAGTGAAGCATGAATACCCCGCTCAGACACATTATACTGACGCAGAGCCGACCAGTCCTTGATGTGCCCATTAATGCCGAGCGCCAGGCAGGGACCAACAAGTACCATATTTTAACGTCTTTTGGTATGACGCGGTCGGGGTTCGAACCCGCGACCTTCCGCTCTCCGTCTGATCAAGGAGGAACGACTGTTTGATGTTGCCGGGTACCCCTAGCTGGTAGATATAATGTTGAAACCAGTTTTAAAACAAACGACGATTTATGCCAATTGCTTGAATTGTCTCCATGTTTTCTGTGAAGAATTTGTTCAGGTTTTACCCTCTGGACGTCGGTATATCTTACGCCACTGTTTGTGTATTCTTCGCAACGCCGCTTCACCTCTGTTGCGGGGTATATATGTCTTAGTTGAACACCCTGCAGCGATGTCATGAAAAGTATCAAATTGTCACTGAAAAGAGAGGTTAAAACGTTTAATACGAAAACTCTTTCTCTTTTACTGCTTGTGTCCTTCCCTTTGTACAATTGACCCGTGAAGATCCGGGGTAGAACAGGTCTTCATCAACCCATGCTTGCCACAAAAGGCGACTATGCTTAATGTCGTAAGAGGCCATTTACGGGATCAGGTGGTCAGGCTCGCTGACTTGGTTGACACGTCATCGGTTCCCACTTGCGCAGATCGGTGCTCATGCTGTTGATCACTGGATTGTCTGGTCAGGACTCGATTATATAGCTGTAATATTGCTGAATGCGGCGTAAAACTAAGCTCACTCACTCACCCTTTGTATAATTATGCGACTCGTTTACATTCAATATATATTGAACATCTGGTGATCTGTTTAGATGTACATCTACACCAGCTACAACTATTACATACATCAATCACTGTACATACACGTATATATAACACGTGTTAGTGCATCACATGTAGAAACATGCACTTCGGTATTCAGAGAGTTAGCTCCCTTTAACAGGCTGTTGAGTCTCAGCAACCACTTGATCGTTAATTTGATGTTTGCCGGTCTGACTCACACATGACAGTCAGATGATGTCACGTTGTTGGATGGGAAAACCGGAGTCAAAAGTCAAACACGCTCACACTGGGTACATCGGCGTAAAAAGTGTAAAAGGGTTATTTGTGATGCATACACACAATCTAACACTGTGAAATCACATGAGTGCAGGTTGCATGTAAATACTCTGTCTTGTATTATCCCAAGCTCCGGCTTGCCTTTCTCGGGATTGAGGTCTGGGTCAGGAACGCTATCTCTAACACATTTATCTATGTCTCACTCGAGCCCAAGAGAGATGTCGTTTGTTATGTCAAGGCGAGGTGAGGTGAAATTGGGTTTAACCTCGTGCTTGAGAATATTTCGCCCATATGACGACGTGCATGCGTGTGTATGTGTATGTGCGGCTGCTTGTACCAGCCCAGACTTAAGCTGGTTTTATAGTGCTAGCCCACTGAGATACCACGCCGCAGTGAAGCATGAATACCCCACTCAGACACATTATACTGACTCCAAGCCGACCAGTCATTGTTGTACGCATTTATGCCGAGCGCTTGTTATTACAAAGAGTTATATAATGTCAATTAGCTTGATCACAGACGGCAAATGCGGAGGGGAATATGTGGTAGCTATGTGTAACAGGAATTATATTTTCTACCAACCATTCGTTTAGACGGAAACCCTCATTAGTATTATTTGCAAACACAAACAAATATACAATACATGTCAAACTACCTTTCAGTTCCTTTACATCTGACGGTTTCAACAATAACACCTCTAAAGCGCCAACAATGGGTACTGACAATAACAAACAATGCTTCCGTGTGCATTGGGATCACTCACTCACAAAAACTCTCAGCTAGAAAACTATAATGCATCATAGTGTCTGTATACATAATGAACAATAAAGAATAGCGTCATGAATAATTTGGGGATGTTTTTATTTGAAGTTGTCTTCCTCCGGATCCACAACTTCTTTATTACAATTCTTTCGACCATAAGCAAACAAGCGATCAAGCAAGCTGCGTGATGGTATGTACACTGAAGCGTCGCATGTATTTTAATAAAGAACTTGTATTTCCCTTGTTGATCACACCAACTTCTAAATGCCACTCAAAGAAATTTCAAGTAATCAAACAAATGGTAAACAACGTGAAAGGACATGCCATAGAGGCAAGGTCACATGTATACAGACATTGACAGTCAATATTTCTTCCTTCTGACAATTGTAAATATATGTGTCGGTGCCATTGACACTCAATGCGTATAATCATTATGTTTATATAATCGCAGACAAACAGAATTTGTCCGGTTGTTGATGCGTATAGACTGATGTACCAATCAACAGCAAGAGTCTTCCGGAAACTCCCGCCATTGGTTTTGTCCTTGGCTTCATCTGTCAAAGATTCTTAACTTAAGTTAGCTATGACATATTGCCAATGACCTACTCCTATAATTTCCATCTGTTTTGCCATTTACTCAGTGGAATCTAGTTCGACAGGTCACCGAGGCAGATTACTCTCTGGCAGTGCAATTTGCTTTTGTGTGAAGCCAGTTACACCATTTTATGGTGACACAATTTATGTTCCAAGATAGTACAAACCAAAGAAGTTTGAAGGTGGGTAATTGTAGATGTACGACATGTTGCTCACATGAACAAACAGGTCATCGTTGTCCCTCAGTCGGATGGAAGCAGACAGGAAGCTTGTGACGAACTTCTCACTGACTTCCGGCATTGTCTTCTTCGCCATTAGAAGTACAGAAGGGCCTAGATTTGGCAAGTGCGAGTTGACCCTGTTGACTGTGTGAACAATGATTTCAGGTCGGAGACGTCGCTGTTTTGTCTTGAACGTGAAGAAGGAATAGACGTGGTAGAGGCCGGGCCTGGTTATGTGGAGCTTGCGGCCATCAGTGCCAATGTTGCCACTGCTGTAGGCGCCGTACTGTCCATAATTTTTAGTCCATGACAGAGACGGAGCTATAATGAGAGTGAATGACTTGAATTGCACGTCAGTTTTAAGAGTATTCTTAAAATATTACATGTGATTTCATGTGGTAGAATTCGAAAAGGACAAAATGAGTTCTTCGATTTAAACCAGTTTGAGGTGTGATGATGTCAAACTAAAAATCTAGTTAAGCATGAAACAGGGATTTGAGCCAGGAATTATAGGATTGAAGCACGTCGAGTGACGACTGCACAACGCCATCCACTCTTGCTGTGATTTCCATTAAAAAAAACCAAAAACCTGAATTCAAAGAAGTTTCTGAAAGTTAAACTTGATCTTCCCTCCGGTTGCGGAGGGAATCGTACAAAATGACGTTAAATGCCAAACGAACGGGTGCTAAAGATCTAAACTTTCTCAAATATTTCAAAAATTCAGTCAATAACAGACTGCCAATTACAACTACTTACGATGAAGATTTAAATCTTCGCTGTTGACATTCAGGTGAGCTCCAGTAATTATTTGCTTGGTTCGTGGGCTACTGGTTAATGCATCACTGACTGCTTCTGTGTGGAATCTGGTCGCAAACTGTAAAAAAACGCTACTGAATACAGAATCTTCTTATGCATGATTGAGCAGTTTGATAATTAGACAACAATTGAGCTGCATGTGTGTGTCTCTACGGAAGGCTGAGTGGTATCCCACTGTCTTGATTAGAATTTGTTACGAGCACCCCTGCGTTAGTCGTTACAATTGCCACTAATGCAAACAGTCGAAAGTAAGTGTGTTTAAACATACCTCTCGGGCAACTATACTAGCATAGACAACATAAGCGACTGCACTGCATATCCCCTGAGTGAGTGAGTGTGGTTTTACGCCGCTTTTAGCAATATTCCAGAAATGGACTTCACACATTGTACCAATGTGAGGAATCGAACCCGTGACGAGCGAATGCTTTAAACACTAGGCTACCCAATCGCTCTTCATATCTCATGAACACAATAGCCTGATCGATAATCATAAATCACACGCATAAATCCGCAAATCGAAGTCGTGTTGAAGCTTCTTAATATTTCATCCCGCGTGATATGAAACAATTAATTGTAAAAAGAAACGTTTTCTGAACTCACCATCGACGCAAGCCTCCACAAACCTTCTGCATTTCGCAAACAACATAAAAAGGACGAACCAGTCACGTGATGCACGTGCAGCTCGTGTAAGTCCGGTTGGTTTCTGTCGGGATGCACCCCCAGCAAACTGCAGTCCGTGCAAACCGTGTTTTCGTGCACATCAAAAACACGGGCCTCAGCGCGCGGACTGTCGTCTGCTTTATGCTTAAAAGTCACAGTGGTTAACAACCAAACGACAGCCAGAACATTGATCCCCAGAGATACGACGAGGACGACAGCAGCAGTGCTGCGTTTACAACAACGAGGAACTCTTTCAAATCCGCTGGATTTAACGTCCTGTGAGAGATGGTCAACTTTACAATAGCTAGTTTCTGAGTTGTCTGTTTGCTCAGATGAACTGTCACAAATCTTGTACTTGATGTCGGCTGTTGTTGCCAGCACCGCCATCTTTCAACGATCGTTAAACATTGACGCTGTGTTCCACGAAGTCGATTTCTCGGAAATTGCTGTGTTGAGTGTGCTGCAGGTGAATAGCTTTGACCTACATATGGCCGTTTATTGCCTGCTTGCATGCACACTCTGTGGTTACTAACAATTTGCAGACTATAAATAGGGACTGGTTTTTCACGTATCTGTGTCCGTGAGGTTGAGTTTCAAGTTTGCATACTGCATTGTAAATTTCGATCCGATCCGATACTATGCAACTTCAGTCGCCACACGAAGCACTTGATTCGGGTTCTGACACGAGCTGTATGCGCCTGGGCAAGAGTTCCGCCCGTAACACCCGTATCTGTGTCCGTGAGGTTGCGTTTCAAGTTTGCATACTGCATTGTAAATTTCGATCCGAACGATCCGATCCGATCCGATACTATGCAACTTCACTCGCCACACGTAGCACTTGATTCGGGTTCTGACGCGAGTTGTATGCGCCTGGGCAAGAGCTCCGCCCGTAACACCCGCTTGAAATGTATCGTACTTATTAGGATGATTTCGAGGGTTTAGGGTTACGTTTAGGCTTTTTTATAAAAAAAATATAGGCCTATATTTTTAGGCATAGAATGATACGGAATAAAATACGGGGTTACGGGCGGAAATCTTTCCAATTTTGCTCATCCTTTCGAGTCGGAACTATTTTCTAAAAATATATTATTCATGTGTGTTTTTGCTAGATTTTCACCTCGCTGTGCATCATAAATTATCAGATTTAAATATTTGATACTTTCATAAAAATATAATGTTTGTGCCGACGTTCCCAAACGTAGAAGTTCAAGGCGCAAACTATCGATAGACCATTGATTGATTATGTTGAAACTAAGCAATTTGTAATAATGTATTATATCTGCTGCCTTTAAGTAAAGAAAATATGTTTAACAAATATATTTGTTTTGCAATCTAGCGAAGGGCAATTTTAATGTATCGTTAACTCTGTATAACCGGTAAATCCCACTACCCTTTTGGAGAAATTCTCCGATTTCACTTACAGAAATATCGACCCTGTTAAAGTAAATATACTACCCATCAAAAGTTTAGACTCACTTAAAGCACTCACTATATGTTATGTATATGTATGTGGTTACATCGAAGATGAATTTCTCCACCAACTTGGGGGAACCAACTGAAAACCTTATGCAGATGAATTGCACAAGGATGATGCTTCAAATTGCGAAAGGCATGAGCAAATGTCGTGCATGTGAACAGATGCGTTTTGGTGTAAATTTTGTTAAGAATTCGCCAATTTTCACAGATTTTAATCATTTACTGAACTCATGACAATAATCTTTTCAATGTTACGAATATGTTTTACAATACACCAGTTCATAACTAAACAGTACCTTTAAACAGTATGGAATATTTTGCAAAAAGCTAGTTTAGAACAGTGGACAAGTAAGTGGCTACATTTACACTAGTGAGTCTAAACTTTTGATGGGTAGTATATTAGAAGTCAACGCCAGAGAACACCAGTCACGATGTTCATTTTCAAACTGAAAGAGACACAATAATATCTTTGAGAATCCTTATCCGCTGTGCTAGTATTCTCTTGCCGACACAAATGTATTGACTACAACTCACTGTGAGACCTGTCACCATTCGTTAGTTGTAATGTGTAACAAGGAAGTCCCACTTCTGCGTATTCTCTAGATAAGGTTTGTAAAGGATCAAGACGCCTAACCTGTCAATAGTTAATGTTACGATCAGAGAAGAAGCTTTTCAACTGCAGCCATCTTCCTTGTGAGTGTCGCTTTCTTGTTCAATGAATGTAACGCGGACGTACTTCACGCAAAATAGTCACGATCTTTGTGAATGTCACTGGCGCCTTTGCAATATATTCATAGAATGAACAGTTTTACCCTGATTGCAGTAATGCTTGGGACGAGTAATGAAGCGGGTGGTCAGGCATGTAGAATTTGTGCAGATCGATACATGTTCCAGTCAATAGATTCCAGATACATTTCTTTACAAACCACCTTTATATTGCTGGAACATTGACAACTACGCCAAGCAAAAACAATAAACAAGCAACAAACATATCTTCAGACATGAACAAATATGACATTTGTGTGTGACAAGCTTCTATTCCGCTCACATCTTACTCTGCCTTGTTAATCCAATTATGCTTTGTCATAAGTATATTTTATTCAAGTATTGTGGTAGATGTTTTCTTTCAGTAGGCTGACAGTTTCTGTCCTGCACTCGGAAATGTGGAGATTTGAAAAAACTGTTGGAGTTCTCGTTTTCGTATTCGAGGAAAATCTGATCAAATTTCATTTTATTCTTGAATTAGTTAAGAGAGTTTTCACATTTAAGGTTAAACATGTACAGGTAGCTCTGACGCGCTGCGCTGCATGAATCAATGAAGCTGATGATGAGAGGTCTCCCATATTCTGACTCAAAATTCCTCCATGATTCTTGTATAAGCATTTGAGATGATATTTCTGTCAAAATATACTATCCAAATGTAATGTGTACATTGTTAACAGTTTCGAAAACATTCTACACACATATCTCTCTATTGTCTTATTTCACACACACACACACACACACACCACACACACACACACACACACACACACACACACACACTAGTGTTACTTCGTCCACGCTGTTGGATAAGAACACGAAATCATTTCCAAGGAATCACTTAACGTGTTATTTCTCCTTTACGCGGAATCCGATAGATATTCATCTAAAACTCGGCGTAATAAAACACTGATATATCGTAAACATAAAGAAACTTCCTTGTAATTGTTGGGGGGTTTGACGGACCTCTTTTCCCCTGAATATGCCAATCGTTAATAAGCCAGTGCTTCTCAGAAATGACAAACCTGATAACCTCCACAGCATGCGACCAATGAGCGTCACGAATGTGGAATAGGGTTTCTGTGACTGGGTATTCACCAATACCTCTTCCCCATACCACGTGTCCCAACATGATATGGATCTGTAAATTTGCAAAACGTTTTTTTAACGCACACAATATAAGAATCATGTAATGTTAACTTGTGTTTTCAGGTCACTGCTCAGGTTCTGGTTAAACGACGAGTTATACAAAAAGGACGTTCTGGTCCAATGAAATTGACGAATTAAAATAGAAAACCCTACACAACGTAATGAGGAAACTGGATACATTCCTTCCAGAAGTTTTCATGAAATACAATATTGATTCTCCAATATTTGCAGCAAAACGTATGTTTTATTATATGCTTCAAACGATGACCTCATTAAGGTGATATTGTCAGGAAATGACTGTTCTTTTGTTATGTTGCCCAGAAGAGATTACGGGTTGGGTGTTCTACCCAGCATCTTATGTTGACCGATCAAACGGACTGAGTGGCCAGGTTTAATTGATGGCGTATCATGACGTCGTGGAGCATCCCCAGCACTGCTGTCACTGAAATATCCTGACTCAACGTTGTCACCAGGAGCCAACAATACAGTTTCGAAAAGAACGCTATCACCCGGAAAATATATTATTCTCCCTACACTTTATATTTTTAATTGGTAATATCACTAACAGCGTTCCGTTAAATACAGATCTCTCAGAGTGATTTTTGGAGTGTTTTTGTTTTCAATACTTCTTTAAGTGGCTTGGTGAAGATGGCTCGCTGATTAAATTGGATATTACGCATTTTTAGTAATAAAAATAGTAATAATCCTCTTACATGGCGCTCATATCCAGGCACATTGCCTGCTCACGGCGCTACGTATTACTATCCCCGTCATAGGACACTATCGTACTTTCCGATACTTTTTCAACTCTCTGGGGACTGTACAGCCATGCTGCCTGTTAGGCGCAATGAACTAAACACTTACATTGCCAGCACATCCTCACGGGTACCCATTTTACAGCTGGGTGAACAGACAGTGTGGATCTAAGTATCTTGTCAAAGGATACTACGCAAATGTGCGTGCCCACCTCCTGGGCAAATCTGAAAGTAAGCTGATCGAACAGATTGGATGCTTATGCCTTGTCTGTTTGACGTCAACCCTGTTTTCTGGCTTTAACTGCTCAGATAAATTATCAAGCCAACTTTATAGGCAAGTGGATACGGACTCCGCTCAGAGAACGACAATTCGGTGATTCGATCCGATGGTACCGTCAAACAAACAGGACGTTAGTGCATGCTGGTCTGTGTTACCTGCCTCTTCTCGAATTAAGTCGATAAGACTGTTTGTCTTGGAGTGATGAGACTCTCTGAGTCGAGTGTCCATGTTGTGTGTGGTATCCTACAGTACTGTTACCCAGTGGACGCACGCACGCACGCACGCACGCACGTACGCAGGCACGTACGCAAACTACAAACACACGACACCACGCATACACTCTAAATAGTACTCACTATGTGCATCTTGAATGCAGGGTAAACCCTCATACCACTTCATCTGACTCCTAAACTGTTGATTGTGAGGCGGAGGACAATTTAAATGGAAGGATCATTTCATTTATATGGTACAGGGTTCCTAGGGTCGGCTACAGGCAGTAGCCATGTGAGGGTCGTCCATCACTGTAAGAATGGATGGTCATCATTAACGAAAGTGAGTGAGGGAGAGTTTAGTTTTACGCCGCACTCAGCAATATTCCAGCTATATGGCGGCGGTCTGTAAATAATCGAGTCGGGACCAGACAATCCAGTGATCAACAGCATGAACATCGTACGGAGCATTTGGGATACGATGACATGTGTCAACAAAGTCAGCGACTGTGACCACCCGATCCCGTCAGTAGTCTTTTGTGGCAAGCATGGGTTGCTGAAGACCTATTCTACCCCGGATCTTCACGGGTCCATTAACGAAAGGAGCAAGTATAAGGAATGTTTTCCCTCCTGAAAATATGTGTGTATCTGTATTAATGAGATGAACCTGTTGATGTATATTAAGGTGAGGTGAGGTGAAATTGGGTTTAACGTCGTGCTTGAGAATATTTTGCTCATATGACGACGTGGATGCGTGTGTATGTCTATGTGCGGCTGCTTGTACTAGCCCAGACTTAAGCTGGTTTTATAGTGCTAGCCCACTGAGATACCACTATGAAGACTGCTTTTACTGCATAGGTGTTATCGGCACAGCATGTTCATGAGGAATAGACAACATGAACAACCATATACGTCAATGTCCTTTGTGTGCACTCCGACCTTTTTTGTATCTTTTAAAAACAAAACACAAAATAAACAACTGCAGAAAAAAGCACGTTTAATAATCGAAAAAAGTGATAAAACTTGTATAACACCGGTTATTAATATATATTTTGTATATAAACAACATTAAAACTAATCAGAGAAAGAATGTTTATCAGAGTAAAATAAGACATTATCCGGTTGTTTTACCAGCTTTTTCCAACCCGGCAGTATGTTTTATCCCTCAAAATACAAGTTCAAGTTCAAGTTAGGGTGGAATCCACAATGGTAATATGACACAACACGTTAACCGTTATTTTGGGAACACACAGTAAATATTACTCAGTGCGAACCCGGCTCTACCAGAAGCTTTCTCAAAAACCTCACACAAATTCAACGTCATCAAAAAGACTTCCTCGGTAGCCAGGAGTATATTTACAGAAATATTTTATCTTACATGACAGTCAGTTATCTAACTTGAAAAGGCCAAAATAGTTAGATGGCGAGTAGGCGTACACCGACGAAACTGGTTCAACGTTTACCCATACTTCATCCCCTTTCCTCAGAACTAGTGACGCTCCGAGATAGGTTGTGGCGAACCTCTTGCTTTCTCTCGCGAGATTGTGTTTTCGAAACAGCAGAAGCTGGTTCTGCAGCTGTGGAAGACTGGGGTTATAACGGGTGACTGTGTGAAGAGCATTACGGCTCTCGCTGGTAGTCTCGCGAGTTTTCAGCGTGAAGAAGGAGTAGAGGAAGTACGTTCCATCTTCTTTGATCTGTATTCTTCCGTCGACTAGTTTGACACCGTGACCAATGTATGCACACCCGTATCCCAAATCAGTGGTCCAGACAAGCTTGTGCTCTGTAAGATGGATCTGACACTGTGTTAGTAGTTCATGTGATGACCTCAATATTGTAAGAGATTCAGCAAGAAAAACGTTTAATTTAAGGCCACGTAAAAAAATATTCCTGTTTCACATTACCTCCCGACCCAAATATTCGACCCTATCCTAAGAAAAAAAAAATTTACACAAGAGAAAATGCAACTTTGACTCTCAAAGATTTGTCACTCTTTTAAACTTTGATTTTCTATCGGATAAAATATGTAAATTTCCACAAACTTCAAAGGCTTTGGACATAAAATAGAATAAAATGTAAAATTAATTTTCCTCCCCCTATACCCCGATCCATTTTTTTTTTAAAGTGATAAGAAACATTCTTTTTTTATGTGGCCTAAGGTGGAAGTTTAGTTTATACACGGTACCAGTTTCATTGCAATTTTGCATCTTGTTTCAAAACTACGTGAATGACTTGAAAATAAGTTGATGGATGAAGGGCCTCATTTGAATATATACCAACAAAAAATATGACTTACCTTTCAGAAATCCGCTTTCCAGGAATAAATGAGCGCCATGTTGGATTTGAAGTGGACTTGTCAACACGGGCGTCGTGTCAATACTTGTCCTGTTATAGTACCGGAACTGAGCTGAAAACTACACCCTTTAAACACTGGGATCACGCACATCAATACAAGATGAAATAAAACATTACGTTCAAATGATTTTTGATGACTGTATATCATTTTTGTACACATTGAAAAATATTCCGACGTGATCGGTTGAAAGACGGAAGAGCTGACGAACTGATGAGGGAGATGTGTGATGGGTTAATATTAAGTGAGAGAGTGCGTGCGCGCGTGCGTGCGTGATCGTGTGAGTTGGGTTTAATGCTGATTTGACCAGTATTCAAGTTATATTTTGGCTTGTAAGTTGAAACCACCGATCATTGGTATGTTCCTGACAGATATAGAAAGGCAAACAACGTTCGAACCCATGGTGAGGGCTTCCTGACGTGTCCAAGGGACGCAACTGTAGACGACAGGGCCAGCCGTCTTCTTGTAGAGAGATAACTCCTGACTGGATGTAATGCCATGGATAGTTGATGGATAAATGATGGATGGTGGGTCATAAATGGTGGATGGATGAGGGAGAAAAAATGATGAATTGCTAAATATCAGATAAGAAATATTGATGATGGATATGTGAAAAGGTGGGTATGAAACGGCTGACGTAATGAAGGGATGGATCAGTGAGCGCTGGTAGAGCGATGGCGATGGTTTTCTCGGAAACCAGTGTGACGTAACAATAAAACGCGATGGCAGCTGCAGAACAGCTCAGATTTCACAAAAGGTGATGGGTGCTTCTTTGTTAATTTTAACAGATCGCTTCAAGAGACATGAAGATGGGCAGATGTTTTATTTGTAGTTTTCTAGTTGTAGCACTGACAACTTCCTTACCTTTAAGATGTCTTTTTCTTAAAAATTGTGTGCATCTGTTTACGTGTACCGCCTTTGAATGTAAAAGAGAAGTTTGATCGACTTGATCGACAGGTGGAAGATGTGTAGATGAATTATAGTCCGTTTGGCTAAAAAGCGGACCGATGAATTGCAATCTAACTCGAAAACTAATAAACATATAATACGCAATGAAACGCTGATCATAATCAAAACATCAGACCAACTCTGTGATTTGTTTGCAAAATTGTATGTCCTAAAATGAAAAAAGTTGTTTAACAAACTATCATTAAATTATTGTCACAGTTCACTATTTGTTACGAGGGAGGAGTGCAGAGAAAGGGACTAGAGTGTAGTCAACCCCCATTGCTGTTATATATACACAAATATTCATGTTTACGTCACAAAGCACCGTATAATACCCTCATAAATTAATTGGCACTATGACCGTAATCACGAGTTTCATAATGGACCCTGTCTTATAACAGATATCGTATGATTATATCACGGATTATGCCACTTTAACATATGTCGACATCAACTCGATTTCCGTTGTTTAGTTGCCGATGAGGCTTAAAACAGCATTTACTCACTCCGTTGTTGTTTTTTAATTTTAAGTTTTTAAAGATTGAATGGTGTATGTGTACTTACGACTGTAATAAGCTTTTGTAGATGGTCAGAGTTCTTTAGACAACAGAAAGTGTTGTGGTCTGGCATGCTTCTTACGACGATATCCTTCCTTCCATTCACCACACCATCTTGCACATTGAAGCCAAGGCTTGCACACAGAACACAAACACTTGAGCTCAGATCTTCGGAAGAATCCAAGACTTCCAGGCCGGAATTCTGCGACATTCCATGTCTGGCAACTGACATCACCAAGACAACACCGAGTGTGATGTTGACACACATTGACAGCACAAGGACGGCCACCAAGGGATGTTTCTTCACATCAAAGCATTTTTCTTTGTTGTTGCTTTTCTCGTTTTCCCTTGCCTGTTTCGTCTTCTGGATCTGACAGGTATGGTCTTTTTTGAGGTGACTAACGTATAAATAGGACGGGTCAGACCCATCCTCTGTAGTGTCCATCGGATGTGTCTTGGTCTCCGATAGACAATTACTGAGAGACGACTTTTGGTTTAACCAAACCATGCTTAAAGGAACAAGGGGGGAAACCAGCATTTGCCTCAAAACATGTTCGAAGCAGGAATAAAAGCTAAATCCGGGTTGGTGGACCAGGTGACCAACGACAGGTGCATGACGCGGGGAAGAAAAGGGGAATCCCCGGTTATACGGTATGATATCAAGGAAGATATTAATTTATTTCTGTTTTATAATTTCGTTAGTTAAAAGTATGTTAGCATTTCTGTACTTATTTGTCTGTGGTAAATACATTTAATATTTCACATTTTCCTGTTTGTTATTCGTTAAATCAACACCAGTTGCGCCACAATAAAGCCATGTGTCATGCAGTGAACTTGCCTGCTGACACACCAGGAAGTGTGTATCGTGTTCATATTATAAAGCAGTTGGTGCAACATTATACGTTACCTCACACATCCCGGCCACACAGCTCACCGGACCTATGTATAGAGGGTATACGATAGTATATCTGTCTGCCCATCTCACCACGTGCCTACCTACCAACATCTATAATTCCTGTCTTTCCAACAACCTATCTACACTAATTAAACCTCATATCCCATACAAGAACAAATTAAACATGTAACCTTTTAAAGCCTAATTGTCTTTCAAAATAAAACAAATCCGCTTTTGGATTTCATTTTCTATTTTTGAAAGTAAATTTAACTTTGAATCTTTTCAATTATATTACATCAGCTTTACATGGGACAACGTCCGACGTGAGTCAGATTGTACGGCGTTGATCCAGACATGTACGGATTAGATGGTTATGGTGCTAGCAAACCAAAAATCACAAAAAAATGATGAATTTGGGATTTGACCCACCAGCATAAGTCTGGCATGTTAAAGGGGCGTAACTCAGTACACTTGCAACAAGCAGCAGCGGATAAGTACAACCCGCCAGTTGTTCTGTTGAGGAGATACAACTGCATGGATATATCAATCAGCGTGGAGGTTGTGGAAAATGTTGTATACACGGAAATATTATAATTAATTAGATAGGGCTTACATAACGATATCGATGCATCGAAATATCGATGGATTGCAATTGTTGAGTCTCCGATAGCAATTACTCGATGGTAGAAACGAAAATATATCGATGCATCGATAGTATGTGTGACTATCGATAGTTTAGTGAATGACTTCCGTTGATAAATGTGCAGCACAAAATACAGGAAGTACCAGATTCGTTCACTGTGATGCAGAGTTATACGCCCCTGTTACCTCTCAAACAAACTTAATCTGGGTTTCAGCTTTCTTGTCAGTTATCAGAAGACACTGAGCATACTTCAGCTTGTTTCAGCTTATATTTTATTTTATGTTTTTATAAACTATACATTCATTTGGGAAATGACTTCAACTGAGACAATTCAAGGAGAAAAAAATAAAAACTATTGCAATAGTTTTGCAATAGACTATCGCTATCGCAATAGTTATTTCCGCCTCAGTAGTCACCCCTATAAGTAGATGTCTACCTAGCATGTGTGACAAGACCGTACTGACGTACAACTGTAGTGATTCAGGAGAACCTAACGTACTGCTTATAATTATTATTGTATTTGCTGTGTCTATTGTACTTGGAGCGCAGATTGAACGCATAACCTATGGTGAAAAGCTGGGGCACTGTCATGACCATCTCTCTGTCAACTAACCTGTAAAGGTCCGGGTTCGAATTCATCTTCAGTAACCCATGCTTGTCGTGCGAGGTGACTAAAGGAATCGGGTGGTCAGGCTCGCTGACTTGGTTGACACATGTCATCGTATCCCAATTGCGTCGATCGATGTTCATACTGTTGATCCCTGGATTGTCTGGTCCAGACTCGATTATTTACAGAGCACCGCTACATAGCTGGAATATTGCTTTGTGCGGCGAAAAACTAAACTCACTCAGTCACTCCCCGTCGACTACCGCTGTGTACTGCTACAGTATACCACGTATATGACGAATACGCCTATTTGAGTTTCCCATCCATATGTTCATATCTTACTCGAACTGCGCCTTCAAATGCGACAAAAGATGTACGATTATAAGGAACTGAAATGGGCTTCACACATTGCACCCATGTGGGGAATCGAACCCGGGCCTTCGGCGTGACGAGCGAACGCCTTAACCATTAAGCTATATCCCACCGCCCCTATCTCTATGTGACGTGTTAATGACGTCTCAAGGAACACGGGGTGGAAGTTGTTGAGTGCAAAGTAATGCGGAGAATGAAGTGTGAATTAACATGGTAACCGTAAATTCCACAAATTGCAGTGAGTGTGTGTGTGAGTGAGTGAGTGAGTTTAGTTTTACGCCGCTTTTAGCAATATTCCAGCAATATCACGGCGGGGGACACCAGAAATGGGCTTCACACATTGTGCCCATGTGGGAAATCGAAACCGGGTGTTCTACGTGACGAGCGATCGCTTTAACCACTGGGTTACCCCACCGCTCCCATCAAATTGTAAACTCATTACAATGCACTGAATCATTCTTCGTTATCACAGCTCGAGTGGTGCAAGGTACACATACCTCAGTCCTCACAATTGTACCAATTCCCAGGGAATCAGTGGACAGATTCCAAGGGCACACACAGGTTCCTAAGTTTATCTGCTTGGGAGCATTAAGTAGGTTAGTTCCCCGGGAGCGCATAAATAGGCTATTCCCCTTAGCTGTTTCTGTACACTTCTCCAGGGCACACCTTTTTCCTGTCTGTGCATAGATCCGTCCCTTACGTGCGGGAAACCCTGACTCTGGGTTCAAGTCCTGGTTTGCCTTGAATATATTTCTGGGTTCGACATCACCATGGCCATGGGTTTCAAGGAATTCTTTATCTAACGTTTAAGTGTTTTGTTCAACGACGTTAATATTGGGAACAAGTGTTTTGTTCAACGAACTTCCTTCCTTAAGTGGCATTTAGAAGCTGGTATAATGAAGAGATATGATGAAGGGGAACACTTAGACAACATCAACTGCAATAAAGAAGGTTTTGTTATTCCAGTGATTGTGATTGAGTATGCTTTTACGCCGCTTTTAGCAAAATTCCAGCAACATCACGGCGGGGACACCAGAAATGGGCTTCACACATTGTACCCATGTGGGGATTCGAACCTGGGTTTTCGGCGCGACGGACGGACTCTTTAGCCACTAGGCTACCCCACTGCCCATGAGATGTACAATGAAAGCACAGGGGAAGTAACTCTATGGTTGTACCATTTTTGATTCAAATATAAAATTCAAGGCACATTGGTTATAAAAATAAGTAGCTGTGGCAGTGTGCCAGTGCTATATAAAGTCATAAAGTCTATGTTTTCTTATTGGAGTTGCACAAGCAAGTTCAATAATGGCACAATGTTTGCCAGAGAAAGTAAAATTTATGGCAGTATGCTAATAATGCATGACGTCTGAAGTTTGCGATGCAAAGTTCAAGAAACGCATAGTGTTTACAAGACTGACTGACTGAGTGAGTTTGGTTTTGCGCCGCTTTTAGCAATATTCCAGCAATATCACGGCGGGGGGACACCAGAAATGGGCTTTACACATTGTACCCATGTGGGGAATCGAACCCGGGTGTTCGGCGTGACGAGCCAACGCTTTAACCACTAGGCTACCCCACCGCCTCAGTGTTTACAAGAGAATTCATAGGCCAATAGTATATGAAGTCATATGTAATTTGTTATAAATTAGAGTTGTACAAGCGTTTTTGAAAAACCAAAATTAAAGAACGGCACAGTGATTTCAAAAAAAAGGAAGTCACACCATGGCTATAAGCTAATACCATACCAGATGGTCAACTGTATACTCAATCAGATATGATTTGTTTGATTGTCTGAGTAGTACAAGCATGTAAGAGAATACATCGATTAAAAAAGCAAGAAAAAAAAGCACACTGTTTGCACAGAGAGAGTCACTCCATGACTATAAGTAAATAAAGTACCCAAACAGGTGTGATTTCTCTGACTAGAGCTATATAGGCCTATTTGGCCCACCAATGTTCACGAGTGGCACAGTGTTAGCAAAGGGAGGTAAGTCTATGGTTGTAAGCCAGTAGTATATTCCATCAGATGTATTCTGTCTGATTCAATTTCTAAAGTGGCTCAAAAGTGGCACAGTGTTTTCAAAATAGAAACAGTCTATAGCTACAATTACAGTAATATACAATGATCAGACATAATTTATCTAATTGTACCAGTGAGCTTAAACTACAAAGTTCAAAGTTTGTACATTGTTTGCACAGGGAAGTGAATGTTCTTACAAGCAATAAATCTTTCGATGGCACACACTTGTCTGAAATTATTTATAACCTTATCAATTGATAGAGTGTTGCCCTTATAGAAATATATACTTTTTGCTTAGTAAGATTAAGTGATTCAACAAGTTATATTGATTTGGATAACCAAAGAGAATTGCGTTGGTATCCAAAGTTATGCCCATGTTAATGTTGGTCTTCAAAAATAGTTCCAGACTCCCCCAAAATTCTTTTACATATTCACATTGGAGAAAAACATGAGCTAGGTCTTCCTTGTAAGGTTCACAAAAAGATCAAATATCATCGTTTACTAGGTTCATAACCTTTAGTTCCTACCTAGTTATATACCATGCGGTGTAGAAATTTGAATTGAAATTCTAGAAGTTTTACGTCTTTTGTACAACACCTAAACTGGAGCAATATATTTTTCCAGTTTGGAGAAGTAAGGTTAAAGTTATCCGTCCATTTTTGACACACCTGGGCCACGTATAACATGTGATAATATTATCATAAAAGTATCTGGAGCCCTTTCCAAGCCTAAGCTAGTCAAGCTTAAGCTGTTTCCAATAATCAGGTTGGATTTTATAATACACCTTTGCTGGTTGATGCACTGTTTCCACTTAGGAGGGATGCTACATAGCAGTCTGTGATAATCTAAGAAGGTTCCCCTGGTATCATATACGTTTTTCAGTTCACTGAAGGGCATTAATCCTCATGTGTTACAGACATTCTTAACAAAATGCAGCCCTTTGTGATACCAATTTTGTATAAAGAGGGTTTTATCTTTGAACTGATGTTTCAGCCAAAGAGGTTGAGATAAAATATAGTTGATATTGTCTGGGTATTCTTAGATAGTGTCCATGCGTCCAAAACACTTCTCCAATAAGGATTTTAACAATTATTTCGAATATTGATATTCGCTCACAGATAAGGATAAAGGAAATTGGCTTGGGTTCTTGCAGGTAGGATTTTGGTAGCATTTTCTTAAGTGAGAAAGTTTCAAGGCTTGAATAAAAGTGTCAACATCAATCTTTCTTAGGCAACCTTCATCAGATTTCCTGATCATATTAATCCTCTTTATTTTGTCCTTTTTCCCATTCCATAAAATGTTTTTACAAATATTTGATTTAATTCTTTAACAAAAGCTTCAGGAAGAGTAGGCAGGGCTAAAATATATGTACCAAGGAAGAAAGAGCTAAGGATTCAATAACTGTAATTTTGTAAATCAAAGTCAGTGGTCTATGCTTCCATAATGCGAGGATTCTTTGTATGGTTTCAATTCTCTTTATTGTATTTATGACCCAGAAGTCTTGTAAATTAGCATTAAGGGTAATGCCAAGAACTTCAAAGTTTTAACATTTAATATTTTTTCCAGCCATACAGCCTATGCAATAAAGAAGTTGCCTATCCATAAAAAGTGTTCCTCTTCAACAATTTGTTGGTTTGATGTTTAATGTCGCACTCAGCAATATTCCAGCCATATGGCGGCAGTCTGTAAATAATCGAGTCTGGACCAGACAACCCAGTGATCAACAGCATGAACATCGATCTACGCCATTGGGATACGGTGACATGTGTCAACCCTGTCAGCGAGCTTGACCACGCGATCCCGTTAGTCGCCTCTTACGGCAAACACCTGATGCTGATCAAGGACCCTTCACGGGTGTCAATGACAGGAAAATGTGGTTAGTTCAGAAATGCGTCGTGTGATGAAATATTCATGGAAGTATGAACAGAAACTGCTAATCATATGTATATTGTTCACGATGGCCCAGTCGGTACTGTTGGTTGCTGTACAGTGTTATTTCCTTTAGCTGTAGTATATCTGATCGTGGGTTCGAATCTCAGAAACTGGCCATCTGATTCCGAACCCTGGTCTTCTAGTACAATACATGTGCTTATGGGTTTTATAATTGTGGTTAATGTCGGAGACCTGTACCGGTATGGGCTTGCTCATCGAGTAACTCACTCGCCTGCCTACCAACTCACACAATCATCCACTCACTCACTCGCCTGTCTACCAACTCACACAATCATAGACTCACCGAGTCACTCACTCGCCTGCCTACCAACTCACACAACCATTCACTCAACCAGTCACTCACTCACTCGCCTGCCTACCAACTCACACAACTATCCACTCAACAAGTCACACACTCGCCTGCCTACCAACTCACACAACCATTCACTCACCGAGTCACTCACTCGTCTGCCTACCAACTCACACAACCATTCACTCAACCAGTCACTCACTCGCCTGCCTACCAACTCACACAATCATAGACTCACCGAGTCACTCACTCACCTGCCTACCAACTCACACAACCATCCACTCAACCAGTCACTCACTCGCCTGACTACCAACTCACAAAACCATTCACTCAACCAGTCACTCACTCGCCTGACTACCAACTCACACAACCATTCACTCAACCAGTCACTCCCTCGCCTGACTACCAACTCACACAACCATTCACTCAACCAGTCACTGACTCGCTTGCCTACCAACTGATACAATCATAGACTCACCGATTCACTCACTCGCCTGCCTACCAACTCACACAACCATTCACTCAACAAGCCACTCACTCAATCACCTGCCTACCAACTCACACAATCATAGACTCATCCAGTCACTCACTCGCCTGCCTACCAACTCACACAACCATTCACTCAACCAGTCACTCACTCGTCTGCCTACCAACTCACACAATCATAGACTCACCGATTCACTCACTCGTCTGCCTACCAACTCACACAATCATAGACTCACTGTGTCACTCACTCGTCTGCCTACCAACTCACACAATCATCCACTCAACTATTCACTCACTCACCTGCCTACCAACTCACACAATCATCCACTCAACCAGTCACTCACTCCCCTGCTTACCAACTCACACATTCATAGACTCACAGAGTCACTCACTCACCTGCCTACCAACTCACACAATCATCCACTCAACCAGTCACTCACTCACCTGCCTACTAAATCACACAATCATCCACTCAACCACTCACCGAATCACCTGCCTACCAACTCACACAATCATAGACTCAACTATTGACTCACTCGTCTGCCTACCAACTCACACAATCATAGACTCACCGAGTCACTCACTCCTCTGCCTACCAACTCACACAATCATAGACTCACCGAGTCACTCACTCGTCTGCCTACCAACTCACACAATCATGCACTCACCGAGTCACTCAAACACATGCCTACCAACTCACACAATCATAGTCTCACCGATTCACTCACTCGTCTGCCTACCAACTCACACAATCATCCACTCACCGAGTCACTCAATCACCTGCCTACCCACTCAAACAACCATCAACTCACTCACTCCTTCCCTCGCCTACTCACTCATTCACTCAACTATCCACGAACCCACTCACTCTCTCATCCACCTGACCTCCCAACTGTTCACCCACTCATTCTCTCTTTCTCACTCACCCACCCAACGACCCACTCACTCACATACAAATTGGTAAAAGTGTTTAGGTGAAGTAAGACTCCTTTATAAAAACATACCAGTTTATTGTTTTTACATTTTGAAACTGCATTTCACAATGAACACATCTACAATATAGAACATGAACGTACTTTAACAATGACACCTCATTAAAACGGACTCCCAGGATATAATAACTATTCGAATTACCCGAACTTCAATTACAGAGGAGTGACATTAAAACATAGTCGACGAGGACTTAAACAGTACCAACACGAAACATCTCTTTTGAGATATCGGGACAACAGAGTTCGACTTAAAAAGGCTTCAATGTTAAAATACTTCATACTAGTTGCTGCCTAGTGAGATATATCACACCTACTGGAACTTTCGACGCGTATCCGTTGACATAAATTTACTCATGTCACAGTTTACATCCGACGGTTGTGGCACTGTATTCCTGAAAGTGACTGTTTCTTCTGGATTGTCTTGTCCAATACACATCACCAGGAACAATGCCGTTATGCATATATCTACATTCAAACGATAGAATTTGCGTAGCCACCTATTGCTTTGCTTCCAGATACGAAAATATTAGTGTTGTAATACTGTGCTTTAGACAGCCATTATGAAAAAAACAGCTTGAAAAAACAGGTTAAAATCATATTTACATTTTTATAACACCAAAATAATTTGAAAATCTCCTTTTCTCAACTAAATCATAATAATTGTTCGACACCACCACATGGAGGCGATCTTGTTTGCGGAGCTTCACAATGGCGGACAGGAAGGACGTTTGCTGCGGAGTTACTGTCAACCGGAAGGACGTTTTAGACATGAGTATGGATTTCTCTCCGAGGCCAGGGAGGTTAGGGTTCTGTCGCCGTATCATGTGCAGGAAGGGTGTGTCTGAGGATGTTGGCAACGTGGTGAAGGTGATGTGTGAGTACACCAGGTACAGACCTGCTGCTGCCACGACGACTTTGTCCCCATCACATTCGACGTTGGAACAGAAAGACGTATTGTAGGGGTCGCTCGTCGTCCATGTTGGCGGTGAATCTGTACAAACGAGTACAATATTAACAAAGCACAGTTCATGTACTGATGTATCACAACAATATTTATGTGTTATACAGAGAACCTGTAACTGTAATCACCTCAAATGATATAAACACTTAAAAAAGTAACGATATCCCATTTTCCATATAATTTTTAATATATATATACTCACAGAAACGAATAAGGGAACACATGAAAGTACAAGTGTTCTTTTATTTATTTCCAGAATTTCACTCACTGTGTTATTCATTCCTCGTGAAGAAACATGGACAAGAATAAAGGAACATTTGTACTTTCATGTGTTCCCGTATTCGTTTCCATGAATATATGTTTGACATTTTGTGAACACCAAACTCGGTAATACTCCATCAAAATGTCGGCGATCAGTATAGAACAGGTTGAACCAGACAGTCAAGGAAATTATCTGCATCAATCTACACAACTGTAATACAACTATATGCTTCCACCATGTGAACGAGCTGAAAAACAAAAGTACTGCCGGAAATAGAAAAAAAACTGTTTTTTCACATTTATATCTACATGTAGTTAATATGTGAAAGTGTGAAATATCTGTTAAACTAAGTTCGGCCTAACTACAGTCTCAGTGGGAGGGAGATAGGAAACGTAAAAGAAGGATTTTACTGAGGAGAGCTTAGTGCAGAAATGAGCAATGCAGTTTTTTTCTAAGTCCAATGCGACTTATTCAGAACAGACCATGGCTTTATACAAATTAGTGTGCGATGATATTGTATTATAAAGGACACTTTTAAACGATCATTTTGAAATTAGACTTAGCTTCATTATAAACGATAGCAGACGTAAACAATAATAACTTTAATACTGAAATTATTAAGGATGTAGCTACCATGGCGTTTCACTATCAATATAAAAAGAAACAGGTAGGAGGGGTCGTCTCAAAAGCAAAACAAGACTTGGCGTTTGCGTGTCATTTTAAGCCCGAGTAGGCGTTTCTGCCACACAGTTACTCTGATTGAATGTATTTTGGACTGAATAGGGTGATTCTTCGATTCTAATGGAGGTACTTATGCCATGCAATACTCCACACAGCAAAGGGGCAATATTCAAAGCTCGCACATACAACACAACATTATAACCCCGGATAGCCCAAGCTGCCTGTTAGGAGCCAGAAGGTTATAGTCATATAACTTACCCCACCGGGTACCCATTTTCTGCTGGGTGAACAGAGGCAATTTTGAACAAACTCACTTGCCTAAGGTGAGACCACGTGTATCACATGTGTTTCGTTGTGGGGCAGGACTGAAGTCCTAGAAACTCCCATGAGTCAAGCTGCCAAACACATGGCCAATAAGAAAGCCGGAATTTGTCTATGCGGCATAAAACACCATCCACCACCATGTCAGTGTTGTAATACGGAAGCAAATGTGCATGCATATGCAAATCATTACCTCTGTCTGGCACCAGATATCGGTGAGCCCACGTCGACTCCCTGGGACGACTCCATATCTCTTCCCGCAACCCTTTAAGGAGGTCACCCGGCTCCCTGCCTAAAATGACAAAAGCCATTGTTCGTTTATCGAAATTGTTCAGACAAATCGTTGTTTTGGTAGTACTACCTATACGTTTGTAACTGCTTCGTGTATTTGTTGTAAAATCATGGGAATTATTATTTTGAATGAAATATAATTTATTCGTTTAGTGCCGTGAAGTTCTGTGTTAATTAAGCGAGTGAGTGAGTTTACTTTTACGCCACTTTTACGCCGCCGTGGGTGAGTGTTACATATAAAACAAAGATCCTTAAATACATGAATGAACGAGTGAATAAATGCACGCACCTGTGGACCTTCTGTAGTATTCGTCACTGATTATCTGAAACGAAATAAAAACACATGAAGACCTCAAACGGCATGTCTTTAAAGGTTGATTTGGATTGGTTTGTTTGTTGTTAACGCTGCACTGTGTGCAATTAATCGAGTCTGGACCGGACAATCCAGTGATCAACATTATGAGCATCGATCAACGCAATTGGGGTACGATGACATGTAAAACATCTAATCTCACTACTCTGCTCTGAGAAGTTAATTCAAACCCAGCGTATAATCTGAACATGGGAATAAACACACGATGTCTTTAGTTGTAGTCATTTCAGCTTTTTGTCTTTGTTATATGGGGATTCGAACCTTGATTAACTCCTGCCACACCAGGGAACATGTCTCAGATACGCAAGTTCCTGTTCCTTGGGCTGCAGTGTTACTCGAGATAATCTCGATCGCTACTACAACTACTACTACTACTACTATTACTACTACTACTACTACTACTATTATTATTACTACTACTACTACTACTACTACTACTATTACTACTACTACTACTACTACTACTACTACTACTATTACTACTACTACTACTATTACTACTACTACTACTACTACTACTACTACTATTACTACTACTACTACTACTACTACTACTACTACTACTACTATTACTACTACTACTACTACTACTACTACTATTACTACTACTACTATTACTACTACTACTACTACTACTACTGCTGCTACTACTACTACTACTATTTATGTGACTACTACTACTATTGCAACTACAACAATTACTACTACTACTGCTACTACTACCACCACCAATGCTACTACTATCACCAATGCTACTGTACTACAACTACTACTCCTACTGTTACTACCACAGCTACTACTACTACTGTAACTTCTGTAACTACTACGACTGTAACTATTACAACTAACTACTCCTACTACTACTACTACTACCATCACCAACGCTACTACAAGTACTACTTCTAAATGCACCGTCTATATTACTAGTATTTAAGTACCTTTTGGAATAACGTTGTGACGTCATTCTTCTGTCTCTGACAACACAGCGCATGTCCCGATGGCAGTCTTATGACGTCATAAAGCGTATCCTTGGATTCGACCAGCGGACCAAGTTGATCACAGGTGAGACATATTTGATCAGCAGCCGCCTGCTTTCGATTCGACAGAGCGGGTAAACCCTCAGTTCTGGGGTGATGTTCTCGCGGTTTCATAAACTCATGGACAGCCACGACGACAATCAGCACAACATTGGCTGTCAGCGATAATCCGATAATCGCATACAACAGCACCCCCGGACGACGTCGGCCTTGATGGGGCGGTGGAGTTGGTGACGTTGCTGGCTCAATGGATAGGAAGGTGGACTCGGGTTCGGACATAATTGAAAATGAAATCCGTTGCCACCGTGAAATCAATGTGTATTACGAACTATGTATACGTTCCCCATGAGATTAATGATGTAACAGCACACTTGTCAAGTCTCTCTAAGTCGAATCTGTTCAGCTGATAGTGTCGCCTGTAGCTGTCTCACATACACTGAATCTATCCAAAACATGCTAGTTGATAAAATACTTGCTCCCTCGGTACGGAATACCCATTACCTCACCGCGGATTCCCTGAAGTTACGCTTGCTACGGGGAATTCCCATAGTGACCTGCTTTCTCTTCCTCAACAGCCATGGTGTCTGTCCTCTAGACTAAGGCTGAGTCTCCGGATATATATAACTCTGATTGTAACAAATAAACCCGTTTAAATTTAAAAGAATCCCTGGGGGACCAGAGATTCAGAACCTTGGGAAATCAAGACCTGCTTCATTTAGTCAATTAGCATTGCAGGGAGGGCTAGGCTGCAGGGAAATTAATATGGTTCGGGGACTGTTGGACAGACTATCTCCCCTCTAGCAGGGATATTTCTTCTCTCCCACTGTGCTTGCATTTCCCTGAAACCATGCACCACTTGTGTGGAGGATACAGTCTCAGCTTACACAGATAAAAGTGGACAGGCTCCTTATAACCGGACATCGTCCACCTTGCGTCCACTTGTAAACATTGTCATTATGTCTATATATGGTGATACATGATATTCTTACAATCACACTACGGATTTTACGACCAGCAGAGATATTTTATGTTTGGAAAACGGTTTTGTTACTTTTGTTTTCACGTATTTCTTCTTATACCTCTCTCTTTTCTCTTTCCTGGAACCCGGTATTTACATCATGCATCCTTACATTTTCTCTCAATGTCCTTGATCCATTTTCTGTTCTCACTCTTAGCCTATTTTACATTAACACAAACAAAATACGGCTGCCTTCTCTACATTTATTCTGTGCTGTGAGATATTACATTTCTTCTGATTCGTGAAGTGTGTTGTTCTGGCTATTAGCTGCATATCATACGATTGGCAGTTTGACAAGAAAATAATTTCTTACGTGTGTCAATAACCGTATATCGGCGACGGTATAAATATATATTCTTTGTTCCTCCAAAGGAGAGTTACAAGAGTAATAATAATGACAAATTTACATTATAAAAGCATGCAATGTTATGATTACTTGTAGCTTTAGAAACGGTGATTATAATATTCCTTTTCGATAACAGTTACTCTTTGGAATTGATGTAAGCCTTTGATTGCTACTTCAGAAAATGTGAGTTCAATGTCCGGATCTGGCACAGGAGGATGGCAGGACAGGAGACATCATACCAATTCCACATCAGGCTCCTGACCTCCACATAACACCTGTCCACTATGTTGCACCAGAGATTGTCTCTCTGTTCTTCTGTCTCAGGACACATGCACACAGTGTGCACAAGTAGGTCTGTGTAACTGTCCCTGCACAGTCTGCACACACCCTGGACCTGGACATTTCCTGGCCTCCACATCTGGATCACAAAGGCTGCAGCTTGCTTTATACCAGGAACTCTCTTCGCTGTTACCCACGCTTCGGTGATGGTGGTGGTGTGTGTGTGTGTGTGTGTGTGTGTGTGTGTGGGGGGGGGGAATTACTGGATGAATCAGTGGGAAGTGTCTTAGGTCTGGGTCAGTCTCTATTCGTCTTTTCCATATATCGAGTTCTCTCCCTTTGATAGCATCCTTCACAATTCTCTTCCAGGTCGATCTACTGGGGAATGTTCCATGGCTGCTGAAGGTGTTAAGGAAAGCCCCAAGGTTGCACCTCTCTGCAATCCGTTTGATGTCTGGAACAAAGCCGAGTGAGGTTTCTGTACACATGTACTTAGACAGAGCCAGTCTTGTTGAAAAGATGCGCCTGGGGACTAAGTCTGTTTTGCCTTTACATAGGTTTCCAAGGAACAGTAGCTTTCGTTTGTCTATTTCAGACTCCAGTGATGTCCAGCCGAGCAGAGCGTTACAGATATCTGTTCTCGTTGACCGAGGTAGGCCCTGTGCTATCTTGAGGGCAGCTCTCTGGGAACGTTCCGATGCCAACATTTGTGCTTTACTCAGGTTGTAACACAGTTCACACCCAAAAAGGGATCTTTGGGACACAGACAGATTTAATGATTTTAGAGCTGACTAAAGGGTTTAATCCTCTGATATGTACTCCTGATTTAAGCAGTGACATTGTTGTTGATCGCATCTTCGAGCATACATCGATGGTTCTGTTCAAAGAGTTGTATTCTGCTGAAAGGGTTATCCCAACGTGTTCTATTTCCCTGGTGATTGGGATTCCTTGACCGTATAACTTTATGTCCAGGTTAGAGGAGCTGACTGGTCCAAAGGTTAGAACTCTGCTTTTTGCTGGAGAAAATGTGAATCTCCACTGTCCACTGTATGCTTCGCACATAGATACCATGTCTTGTAGATGGGATCTGACTAGTGATATCAAGGTTGTATCGTCTGCCTGGGTTGGAGCTGTTACACTGATGTCCATTATGATTGATCCTTTCCCACTCTTTCTCAGAAGTTCATCTGATATACTTCAATTGAATGTAAAGGGGGCGGTGGAGTGGCCTAGTGGTTAGGCGATTGCACCTCACGTCGAAGACTCGAGTTCGATTCCCCAGGTGGGTACATACAATGTGCAAAGCCCTTTTCTGGTGTCCCCCGTCGTCACAGTGCAGGAATGTTGCTAAATGCAGCCAATACCAAAAGACGTTAACATATGGTACGTGTTGGTCCCTGCCTGGCGCTCGGCATTACTGGGTACAACAAGGACTGGTCGGCTTGGAGTCAGTATAATGTGTCTTAGAGGGGTATTCATGCTTCACTGCGGCATGGTATCTCAGTGAGCTAGCACAATAAAACAAGCTTAAGTCTGGGGTAGTACAAGCAGCCGCATACACACGCATGCACGTCGTCATATGAGCGAAATATTCTCAAGCACAACGTTAAATCAATTTCACCTAAATGCGTCGTAAAACTCATCTCACCCACTCACTTAAAATAAAGACGAAGGCGAGACTCTGTCTAACATCTATAATCGCTCTCCTTCCATTTATTTATGTAAACAATAACCAACAGCGTCTTGGTTGTACTAAGTAGATTTTGTTTTATCGGTATCCTTCAGAGTTTCGGTATCAAAATACATGTAATCAGATACAGAAGATTGGAATGGGTGACAATTTGACTAGGTTTGCAATAGTTTGCCTAAGATTGTGATGCAATTACATTGTTGGCATATATCCTACTGTGGATCAGTACCGAGCGAGGGTGTTGTAGACGTCACTAATTGGTTAGTGAGTGAGTGAGTTAGTTGTACGCCGCTTTTAGCAATATTCCAGCAATATCACGGCGGGGACACAAGAAATGGGCTTCACACATTGTGCCCATGTAGGAAATCGAACCCGGGTCTTTGGCGTGACGGGCGAACGTTTTAACCACTGGACTACCCCACCGCCCCAGTGATTGGTTAGTAAAGGTCACGGTAGTTTGTTGTTTAATTGATATCGGCCCATTGGTGAAATAAGATAACAGCAAAGCGCTTGTTTTATCTTCAGCAGCCCACGCTTGTTTTGTTCATCACATCCCAAGTGTGTTCATTAATGCCAGTCACTGTCCAGAGTATCTGGTCCAGGTTATATTCATTAAAGCTAACCGCCGTGTAACTCGAACATTGCTATCTACGGTGTTAAAAACAAACAAACTGAGATTGAAATCCTTTCAGTTAAAGAGTATATAAAGTCATATTCTCATTGTACATGGATAATAAAGTGACATAACTATTACACAATCGCAAAGTTCACTGTATGACTCCGCCGTGATATTGCTGAAATATTCCTAATGGCGGCGTAAAACCATACTCACTCACTCGTTGTATAACCCCCTCTAATCTCAAGATATTATGGACTATTTGTTCAATCCATGGTGTTAACTTTGGTAAAAATGATTGCGGCAATTGAAAAGTGTTATATACGTCACTGACCAAAGGGAAACTCGCTGATGCAAAGTATTTAAAGAATGGGAAGAGAAAACATATTTTATTGTCGATGAAAAAGTACCCAGGAAATTTCGAAACGGTAAATTGATCTAAATATATTTTCAATATGCAGTACGTGAGAATGGTATTGTTAGTAATGAGAAGCGTGGCCTTCATGAATCATGACCTACTATTTGTTGACGACGATGTGATACAGTGGGGTTTCTTGCGGCGTGGGCAGTGACAGTGTAGTTTCATTTTCACAGCGATACAACAGCGTCCCCGGTGAATACACTCAGGGAATACACACAGCGAATAGTGTTGAGGGTACAAACTGCAATCCTTCCAAGTCAGATGACAATGAAACAACATGTATCGTCACTATATGACAGTGAGACGTGCTCATGTTATGGTAGGAATCGTACAGTGAACTAATTTCATCAGCTATCTGACGATTATAGAAATCTTCCTCATCTCTTTGTCTGTTGGCTGTAGGGCCCGTAACGATCCGGTTTTAGAACTGATTTTCAGTAACCCATGCTTGTCGTAAGAGGCGACTAACGGGATCCGGTGGCCAGGCTTGCTGACTTGGTTGACATATGTCATCGGTTCCTAATTGCGCAGATCGATGCTCATGTTGTTGATCACTGGATTGTCCGGTCCAGACTCGATTATTTACAGACCGCCGCCATATAGCTGGAATATTGCTGAGTGCGGCGTAAACCTAAACTCACTCACTCACTTATTTATATGGCTGATAAATAATGGGTTTAAATGACTATAAACGAACTGCCCAAACATGACTAACAATCTAAATATCATATCTCTGTGTCGTCAACATTGGACCTTTCATAATTATGATTATAATGAGATTACAATGATTGTTTTTTAACCTTCGTCCTTCTGTCGGGTGAATGTCACGAATCAGGAAGTCGGGTTCACGTGGCGTACTATACCTTGCACTGAAATCGTGATAGTTATTCTAATTTTCGTGATTGTTATCACCGTCCTGCATAAAAATAATTATATCAGATTACCTTGATAAACCTTCATATGAGGGGTAGGTTCACATTATATACATTGTACTTGTCACTCCGAGAGTTCACCTAATCATTTTGTCTGTCACCTTGCAGATTTAGACGACGACCGAACACGAGTGAGTGTGTGAGTGAGTGAGTGAGTTCAGTTTTACGCCGCTTTTAACAATATTCCAGCGATATCACGGCAGGGGACACCAAATATAGGCTTCCCACATTGTACTCATGTGGGGAATCGAACCCGGGTCTTCGGCGTGACGAGCGAACGCTTCAACCACTAGGCCACCCCGCCGCCCACGACAACACGAACTGGTACAAATGAGGAATAACAACTAGGGTGTTGATTATTTATAGCTTACGATAAATGTATGTTATACAGACAAAAAGCTATTCTTGTAAACTGCCATGTGTTATTCTTTATATACAGTTGATCAAAAAGAGATAGCGAAATGATTGTACACGCAATAGACTCTTGCACACGATTGCTTAGACGTTGTAACAGTTCGGGGCAAACCTGTACTTAATTATACAATACATTGGGGGTTGAGTGTCCTACATTTATTTTCTACTTTCGAGTCATACAGAAAACAAATAGAAAAACGATGGTGTCGGTGACCTAAATTAACCATCCTCGTTCAGGGCTAACTGACACGCTTCTCTTGTAATCAAGGGTTTGTGTACGAGAGGGGTCGGAAGGTACAACGTTCGATCAAGATACAGACGTATTGTAAATATACTAGTTTATCCAATGTTAGGTCATTCTTTGGGTTAAAATCGTGACACTTCCTGGTGTGTATCAGACAGTATCTGATAACCGGTGTGAACTCACTTGAAGCACGTCATTTTAGTAATTTGTCAGCCAGAAGCAACAACAATTGAATAATGGTGACAAACAGGTAATTGCAGATGAATTATGAAATGTTTGACGTTTCGTGTTTTAAATAGCACAAGATGAAAGCCACAGCGGGGCGTTTGGTGATGGGTGACGGGTGTTGTGTGTGTATGTGCGAGGAGGAGAGTGGTCTGAGGCGGAGGGTGGAGGAGGTAGTTGGGAGGGGGAGGGTTGAAGGAGATAGTTGTGAGGCCTGTAGAGTGAAGTAAGTGGGTCGGCAGTAAGGAGGAGAGTGAGGTGGTGTGAGGATGTAGCATGAAGGGGAAGGGAGCTGCTGCTGCGACTACTGCTCCTGCTACAGCTGCTGTTACTCCTCCTAATCCTACTACTACTACTCCTACTTTCACATATCGGGTGTCCCCCGCCGTCATATTGCTGGAATATTGCTAAACCTAAACTCACTCACTCACTCACCATTATAATGTATACATCTTAATATTTTTACTTGTGCATTAAATTCTGACGATGACTTCCGTTGCTATATGGACTGCTATTGTCTTAAAAGGTTTGACGGGTATGTCAAAACGCATGTTTACGAAATAAACAAACGGAAAACGGTAATGCAGACATATTTTATTAATTCTAAAGCGTGGCCAGAGGAAACATATATGATCTATAAATTCTAAATATCAATCATATATTCACATATTTACAAGCAAGATTTCAAACAATGTTTTGACATCTTTGATAATTCGCTTTACTACTTTGCGTGTATTCCAGTGTTTGGCACAAACGTCATGCACGCAAGATCTAAAGGTGAAGAGATCGATAAGTAGGCTGTTGCGTCCTGGCTATGTTTATGGGGGTGGAGTTAGGGTTTTGGGGTGTGATGTACAGAGAGAGCATAACCATGATTTCAAGCGATGGCCAAAACATGTTCCCATGTCCTTCACTATTTGAATACTGAGTCGGCCCTTTAGTGAAAGTGAGAATGGGTTTGGTCTTATGCCCCTTTCGGCAATTTTAGACCCTTGAGCGTTAGCTTTCATGTTGCTGACAACATGATTTAATGACTCGAACCTTCGATCACGCCATTTTTGCTCGACTCCGAGAAAACGTTCAACTCATGAATAAAAAGAAGATGAACTCGAGAATAAAAGAAGATGTAACCCAGAAAAATCTCTATGTTCATCATGGAATATAGGCGTGATTTCCGATGTCTTATGTGAAGCACTTCGTGCCGCTTATTGTTGGAACCAACTCCTGTATGTCTCCGGTTCATTCAAGCATCCCGCCTGGTCTTGGTTGATTATGCGTCAAACAGGGGGCGCCACCTTTTAACACGGGATGGTGTTCATGTTATCAGTCACCAGGATCCTGTTCTTGCGGATCCCGATTGTGTGTGTCGGGTTTGCGTACCACAGCATATTTATGACTCCTAGTCTCTAACCGAAGACAAAGACCAGAACTAAATAATATGCAGTTTCTTATATTAAATGAACACGAAAAGCAAGTTTCGTGAAGTACGTGTTCCCTTGCAACATATTACACCATGATGAAGTACGCACCTTTTTCTACAACCTCTTTCACAGATCACTGGATTTTCTGGCCCGGGTTGTTGTATTACCCCATCAACTTCTAAATGCCTATCAAACATCTGATCACACTGAGTCGGTCACTACGGGTCGTTATAGTTTTCTTACACCGAAAAATGTACGCATGGATTGTTTGTGAACTGACAAGACATCAGAAACTTTGACGGCGACTCGGTCATTCTTGCGCATGTCCAAGATGGCTGACAGGAAGCTGGTTTGATATTTCTCATGTGCGGAGTAGCTGTTGCTGTTAACCAGAAGAGTTACCTCCCCTAGGTTCGGTTGTTTCGGATGTTCACGGACAATCTGGTGCAAGAATACTTTGTCTTTATTTGTGTTCGTCTGCCGCCTGTATGTCACGTGAGAATATACGTGATATCGACCTTTTGACGGTATATGAATATGGCCATTTTGATATTTAACACCAGATATGTAGGCGAAGCCGGTCCGTCCACGGTCATACCAAGGCAGAGTGGTACCTGGAGACCAAAGGTCGTCATAGATCAATATGTATTAATTTACTGATACATGAGTCAAAATGCATCTAATACGCCTGATGGATTCTGTATCGCTGGTTAATCGAGAAATATATACTAGGCGTATGGTGCTCCACAGGATGAAAATAACAGCAAATACCAAAACAAAATATTACCTTTCGCAGCACTCCCTAACAAACATACAAAGCAACTAGTAAAAAAATAAAAATAAATGAAAACCATACACCAAGCAAAAAATAAATCATTATGAAATAAAGTATAGAAACGTATAATATACGTGTGGTCATGTTTACAGATTGCTAATGACCCGAGTTTGGAGTGCCCCAAGCCTTCCTGGTTTACCCTTGTTTAGGATTCAGTTTGTACAGCCAGAATACCTGGAAGATTTCGTGACGCAATGAACTTTACCCGCACGTGTCAATCAGTATGCAACAAGGAAGAGTCAAACACGATCATGGTAACAAAGACACTGAAGTCGTGAAAAAGGACCTCTATTTTTAGCAACACTTGATGTCTATACATTTGATTTTGTGATCTTTGAACTGGTAAAATATTTTCTTTTATGTATGGATCGTATTTAAAGATAATCAACCTACGTCTGTAGCCCCGTCATATGTCTTTGTGTAAAATCATGTCATGTTCTAGTACTGACACAACTCACCCTACATTCTGAACGGTCTATACTCCTAACTGTCTATACTCCTAACGGTACATTCTCCTAACTGGCTATACTCCTAACGGTACATTGTCCTATCTGTCTATACTCCTAACGGTACATTGTCCTAACTGTCTATACTCCTAACGGTACATTGTCCTATCTGTCTATACTCCTAACGGTACATTGTCCTCACTGTCTATACTCCTAACGGTACATTGTCCTATCTGCCTATACTCCTAACGGTGCATTGTCCTAACTGTCTATACTCTTAACGGTACATTGTCCTAACTGTCTATACTCCTAACGACACATACTCCTATCTGTCTACACTCCTAACGGTACATTGTCCTAACGGTCTATACTCCTAACGGTGCATTGTCCTAACGGTATATACTCCTAACGACACAAACTCCTTACGGTCTATACTCCTAACGGTACATACTCATAACGGTCTACACTCCTAACGGTACATTGTCCTAACGGTCTACACTCCTAACGGTGCATTGTCCTAACGGTCTATACTCCTAACGTTGCATTGTCCTAACGGTACATAATCATAACGGTCTATACACCTAACGGCCTACACGCCTAGCGGTCTATACTCTAACGACCGCTACTGCTAACGGCACATACTCTTAACGGTACATATTCACAATTACAAAAGTTATCACAATGTAACAGTGTACGAATCACAACTATGACAGCTGTATTTAATGCATCGCCATTTCTTCCTTGTTTCATTTTAAGTGAGGTGAGGTGAAATTGGGTTTAACGTCGTACTTGAGAATATTTCGCTCATATGACGACGTGCATGCGTGTGTATATCTGGCTGCTTGTACTAACCCAGAATTAAGCTGGTTTTATAGTGCTAGCTCACTGAGATACCATGTCGCAGTTAAACATGAATACCCCACTCAGACACATTATACTGACTCCGAGCCGACCAGTCCTTGTTTTACCCATCACTGCCGAGCGCCAGACAGGGACCAACAAGTACCATATGTTAACGTCTTTTGGTATGACGCGGCCGGAGATCGAACCCGCGACCTTCTGCTCTCCGGGCGGACGCTCAAACCAGGGCGGTCTCATTTTAGGGCCATCATCAAAGATGGTTGCATATTTTTGCTTAACAGTTCAAATGTTTACAATACACACTTTACTGGCCATAACTTCCGTCGTTATTCATAGTAATTATGTATATGGTAACGGACCGTTTCTTGGCGCCGGATCCAGATACAGATGTGCTCCAGTTGTTCCCTTCATCCACGAGGATGTAACCCTGGATGTAACAGGTGCATCCTCTGTAACATACAGGAATTACAATTAATCAAGGTCCGTGATCACACCTAAACCTAACCCCTGATTCATACTGTCAGTGTTATTATATTATTGTAACTCCCATATTTAACACTGACTTAGGACGGTCGTAACGCTAAAATCGCTTTGTCCTGTGTTTCTCAATAAGATTATTGAAATCCATCTTCTCAAATGTGTCATTTGACAATAATGCTACACGTATCAATTTTTATTAAAATAAATTAGTTTTTTAACTTCAAGAGTTGCCGAAATTGATGAAAAGAAACAGCGTACAAGAAATGGTAAAAATCGTTTGCATTTTTACATTGCTATATCATACATAGATAACAAATGTTACGATATTGACGCCAGAGAATATTATTGATTACCTTTTCCCTTGTATATTGCCCTCGCCATCTGCATAAACAGAGAACAAGCTTGGATATTTTTCGATATACTTGAATACCACATATATATACTAAGTCTTGTTTTGTGAATATGCATGATTGAAATAAATTATGCATTTTCATAACACCTCAAATAATGCTACAATGCATGGCAATACATTTTTGTGAGTGTATATATGCATATATACATGCATATATATATATATATATGTGTGTGTGTGTGTGTGTGTGTGTGCGTGCGCGCGTGTGCATGTATGAGTGTGTTCATGTGTGTGTTTATGTTTGTGCGTGTAAATCCTGCCCAGCACAATACGACCAATTTAAATGTTTGCAGGTTTGCCACAAACACACAAAGGCAGTTCAATTGATCAGTCGCAAAAAAAGCACAGGAAAACATAGTTTCCAACATAAACGCACACCTGTTGAAATGTTGGAGAAAGCTCATCCATTTCTTTCAGGCAACAGAACGTATCTTTCTCTACTCTCCCCACACTGTAGAGCGTGTCGTTGGATTCGATCCTGGGCCCAAGATAATCGCAAACAAAACACACAGCGCCGGTTTCAGCAACAGGGTTGAGTAGAGGAACATCTGTATCCTTCTTCAACACTACGAAGATTACCAGTGTCACAACAGTTACATTGACAACAAGGGATGCTACCACGCTGATACGGAGAAATATGGGTCCACACACGGGCACATCAGCTCTGTTGGATTTTATGAACTCCGTGGATTCCGACATGTTGAATGAAGACACAGACTGGTTGATCGCCTTTTCATACAGAAGTCTACCTGAATGTTCACCCGACTTCCTAGTTGATTGGGTATTTTAGCTACCCGAGCAGTCTACGTCTCTGACATGGAAAAACCGCACAGAGAGTTGTCTTCCTGCTTGAATCCCGGTGTAGCGTTGTACTCCCTGTTCACTGTGTTATCATGTCAAGTACTGAGGGACGGCGAGCAGACTGTGACTATAGACTTCTGTTGTGTATGTTGCGTAAGCGATTGAGAAAAACAGATGTCTGTATAAGGAACATAAAGGCTGGACTCGAACATATAGAAGACGCTCTTACTGAGAAATATGCTCTACTTGGAATTGCTACTTTCTTCTCGCGTACTGCGATACGAAACAGGAGTCCTTGAGGCTGTTTTAAAGGCACTTAACCACACTATTTTCCTTTCAGATTTATGGACATCACTGGGGCCTCTTGTCTGAATGAACAGTTTTAAATGGAGTTATTGGGGCATGCAGGCATAAAATGCGTACTTGCATAGTACGTACATAAATGTATACAAACATGCATCCATGCGTACTTACGTCATTACGTACATACGTACATACATACATACCTACATACATACATACACGCACACACACACATACAGACACACATACATAGACAGACAGACAGGCACACACGCGCACACACACATACATACATACATACACACATACACACATACACACACACACACATACATACACACACACATACATACATACATACACACATACACACATACACACATACATACATACATACATACATACATACATACATACATACACACACACATACACACATACACACATACACACATACATACATACACACATACACACATACATACATATATACATACACACATACACACATACACACATACACACATACATACATACATACATACATACATACATACATACATACATGCATGCATGCATGCATACATACATACATACATACATACATATGACGTGCGAGCGTTTATATGTGAACTGAGACAATTAAAGTGTTACTATTAGTTTTGAAGGTCATACTTGTGTGCGTGCTTGCGTGCGTGCGTGTGCGTGCGTGTGCGTGCGTGTTAGCGTACAAGGCCATGTTACGCTTACTGACGTGCCGGATGTCTTTGTCTCCGACTGAACTATCCTGAATTACAGCCGACAATATTAATGTGAGCACCGCAGGAGCAAGTACATTCATGGTTTTGGTGTTGCACGTCACTACGTTTCTAGGGAGTAGATTTGAAAACCGAATTCCATATTGCTTGGTTTGATTTTCACATCTAATCAGCTATATCATTGTATTATTACGCATCACTGATATTACCAAGACAGAGGATGGTCAGCAGGAACTGTACCAGTTGTGATGTCACACGAAACCACTATATCAGAATGTAATTTATGTTTTAATATACCTTTTATTACATTTACAATATCTTACATTCCTACCTTTCTATTACACTAAACTTCTGTCAAACAATCTAAGGGGCGGTGGGGTAGCCTAGTGGTTAAAGCGTTGGCTCGTCACGCCGAAGACCCGGGTTCGAATCCCCACATGGGTACAATGTGTGAAAGCCCATTTCTGGTGTCCCCCGCCGTGATGTTGCTGGAATATTGCTAAAAGCGGCGTAAAACCAAACTCAGTCAGTCAGTCAGTCAAACAATCTAACACCTAAATGAGTACCTCTGACTGACAATCTCAATGCTGCATTTGCAACTTATCGAAACGAACTAACCACAATTTCACTTCGAACCCCACACGTGGCGAAAACGCATGCTTCATGCATGCTCGAGCTTTCTGCGAAGTAAGTTGTTGTCAGGTGTGTTTGTGCGAACTGTTAGCATGTACACAAACTGAAACCTAATAACACATGTGGTTAACAGTGCGATAAATCAGTACAATGAACGCACAACTAATAGACAATAGATTTATCTGGACAATCCCTTTGACCAGAGGACGTCATGGTAACATTTGTATGTGTTTATCTGTTTATGTACATAAATATGTGTACGTGTAAGTATTGCGGAGTGTTTGTGAGGGAACTTATTTGTGTAACTCCCTGTATGTTTCCATATTCGGGTGTATTTGTGGTGCGGCTTTGCTCGCACACGTCCATGCGTGCGTGTAGTTCGTAGACAATGTCCAGGGAATAACTGTGTTTGCATGTTGAACCTGTGGCAAGTTCAGTCTATATCAGTAGGAGCATGTAACCTTTCACTGTCGCTATGAATGAAATAGTCGCCACAAGCAGTATCAATATGTTTCACTCTTCAAATAAGTGTGTAACCTTAACTGAACACTGTTAAACCTTTCTTCGCACAGAAGTTTTCCTGTCATGCGTTGCTCTTCGGAGTTTGCGACAGTAATACTTTCATGACATATGGCAAAAATAAAACTCATTCAAAGTGTAATGTGGGTGGGAGCACGGGCCGTCCAATCATCCATGATGTAGCAATTATATGTGCAGAGTTCCGTCCCTTGGACACACCAGGAACCTAATTACATCTCGCGGGATTTGTCATTGGTTGCTACTTCCTCACTGCCATGACCAGTCAACGCCACGTATAGTCCGTTTGGCTCAAAACCGGACCTGGCAGTCCTTTTCTCTGCACTCCTCCCTCGTAACAAATAGTGAACTGTGTCAATATTTTAATGATAGATTGTTAAACAACTTTTTTATTTTTAGGACAAAATTTCTGCAAAAACCTCACAGAGTTGGTATGATGTTTTGATTATGATCAGCGTTCATTGAGTATTTTATGTTTATTAGTTTTCGAGTTAGATTGCAATTCATCGGTCCGATTTTGAGCCAAACGGACTATACCTACTGCCTTCCCTTGTGTCCACATTTGCATGCTTTCTTATCACCTTTGCTGTTTTTCCATATATAGCTATCTTGCATTCATTCACCTGATGAGTAAGAAGATACTCCGAAATATCATATTCCCCACACTACAGAAGTTGACATATATGTTTCCCTCTTTAACAGAAAGCTGTCTTCCATTTGAAGTCTCTTTGACCAGCATTCCAGATTTACTTAAACCACACAGTGTCCGTATGGGGGAGAGACCGGAGTCATTCAGGCATTCCAAACCTAGTATCCCGGGCTGGTTAAAGCGTTTTCTGGGCATATTGTCTCTTCAAATACAGAAGTCCATCAGTGGGTCCACAACACTTTATTCGGCAGCTAAGTATGTAATTACGTGATAGTGCAGCAACGGCCAGGCAGCATCACAGAGGCGATCGTCAGCCCACCTGCCTAGCCGATGTCCGAGGGTCAAGTCCCGTTACATCCGGAATTCATTGTCTATATACTACTACTGTCAGGCTGCCCCGTATCGTATTACGATACATGTATGGTCAACCTGCATTATCCAGCATGCACCTCATCCACAATGTTAAACTTCCGTGGCCAACCGGCCATACTCTAAGGTTCATTAGGGTTAATTACACGCAGGCAGCTGATCTGTACATGGCTGTGCTGATGGTCATGATAATAAGCTGCTGATATTTCATGTATATTGTCAGCACTGTGATTTAGATTTAGATAACACAACTTTAACTTAACTCAGAGAATATACAAACATGTCTATATTTCCCGATAAATCCCATACCCCATCAAAGTGCCTACGACACTAGCAACATAAACAGTGTGAACTTGGATTGAAACCTACGATCATATTAAGTTTCCTCCCCGAAGGACCTGACCCTTCACAGCGAATTGCAGCACCTAAGACAACCGGGTGACTCGTGCCCCTCGCCAACCTGGACAATTTGACGTCATTTCTATAAGTCGAGTCGATGCAATAAAAACATATACATTCATGCATATTTTATTCCAAGACAATGAAGTTACAAAACAAATGTCAAAATTAACACAAATGAAGTTCACCGATATGTCTGTTGCAACTCCTTTCGACGATTATTTAAACCTTACAAGTTTCATGTTGATAAATAGAAACAACATCTACAGGCGATGCAGCCCAAAATAGCTGGCTGGAGAAAAGTTGTAGATAAGGGATGGTTTTGAGAATTCCACGAAGACTTCGTCCTCCCGTCGTAATTTGAGATTTGCTGCTAAAAAACTCGTTCTCCTCTCGTCGCTGTTGACCGACATCTTACTGATCAGCAGAAGCTGATTTCCAGTCCGCGGCAAATGGATATTTGTCCTTTGAATACAGTGAACAATGTCAAGGCCATCTACGATGTTGCCAGGGGCAATGGTCACGTGAGAGTACAGGAAGTAGACGCCATCTTGAGGAACGCGTAATGTCCCATTTACATATCTGACACCACCAGTAGTGTGCGCTGTTCCGTAGCCCGTGTCATCAACCCAGGTCAAGCGACGATTTTCTGAAGTATACAATAGGTGTCGATATAAGTCGATGACATCGGTTCATCACGTGATATTATATATTTACATCACGAGACAAAATAATACCACTCCTGCTCAGTATGTGCATTTTCCATGTGGAAATACTACCATTTGTTCTAATTGCAAGGATATGGTATCTTCATTACGACTGTAGACCAAAACCGTGAAGATCCGGGGTAGAATACTGATCTTCAGCAGCCCATGCATGTCGTAAAAGGCGACTAACGGGATTAGGTGATCAGTCTCGCTGACATGGTTGACACATGTCACCGTATTCCAATTGCGTAGATCGATGTTGTAAGTTTGTACTACAAACAGTGTATTAGACACGAGTCATGTCACTTACCTTTATTCCTGTGTGTGTCGAGGTAAAGATGCGCAGAAGCATTGGGTCTGAGACTGAAGGCTTCTGTACCACTGGCCCCCTGTCTGTTGTGATAATATTCTCCTACAACCTGTAATATATGGACACAACAGTGACAAGTCACTCACGATGGCATTATTAAAGACAAAACAATGACAAAGCACGCGGGATCGGGTTGTATCACGTGTCAGTTTGAGAAATGATAATGTTTTTCTGTCCATTAATTGTTTGAAACGAAAGTACAATTCTGAGAATGATAATGTTTTTCTGTCCTTAATTGTTTGAAATGAAAGTCGAATTATGAGAATGATGATGTTTTTCTGTCCATTAATTGTTTGAAACGAAAGTACAATTCTGAGAATGATAATGTTTTTCTGTCCTTAATTGTTTGAAATAAAAGTCGAATTATAAGAATGAGAATATTTCTGTTGTTTAATTGTGTGAAACGAAAGTAAGTAAAATTATAAGAATGAGAATATTTCTGTCGTTTAATTGTGTGAAACGAAAGTCTAATTCTGAGAATGATAATGTGTCTCTGTCCTTTAATCATTTGAAACGAAAGTCGAATTCTGATCATGATCATATTCCCCCGTTGTTTGAAACGAAAGTAGGATATTCTTTTATGCCCATAGTAACTGAAAATATTCCTAAAAAAATACACGAAGCCAGGATTGTCGGGGGAGTTTTACTTTGCACACTGTCTATAACCTTTTCTTGTAATTCTTACATATTTGCGTGCAAATACGTTTTCACATGTAGACATGCTGAACTAAATAGAGTTTACACGAGAGCATAATTATTGAGTGTATTTTATACTTACAAGGTTAAGTAGAGTTTGGAGATGTCCCGAATGTTCCAGACAACACAAGGAGGACTTCTGACCCAGATCTATGACCTTGACCTTTGTCATCAACGGTGCATTTTCTGGTTCAGGTAGGTTCAGAGAATCACACCTCACACAAATAGCTTTAGACATATCGACATCAGACAGACCATCGGCATGTTTGAGACCACCGTTCGTGTTACCGTTCAGTCTTATGTACATATACCAACCCACTAGGGCAGCGTTGATAGCTATGGACACCAAAAGTACAACGACACAAACGCGTGTTGAAGGTCGTCGGGCCTGTCTTTTCGCAATCCTTGCCACGGGATCCGGGCACACAACAGGTTGATAGACGCCTGTGTGTGATGTGGTGAACACATTGTCTTTCTTTTTCCCGAATCCTTCGAAACTATTGGGAAGAAGCTTCTCACACACAGAGGAAGACATTGTTGGTTTCTAACTCGTTGCTTTGTGAAGACCGAGTTACTTCCCCTTGTATTGCGTGGATTTATTCATATCAACATCCTGGTTGACGGGTTTTTCTTTGCGGGATATTTTTAGACACACGCAGGATTCATAGAACGACTTCAACGAGCGCTGTTGTCGTGTAACGCTCACAAATCAAACAAACAGAGAACAATCAGCTTCAACGTCCGTATTGGATACCGAGAACCGGATAAAGAGGGGCTGTCACGCGGGGAGGGAAACCTGATAATAGAGCTGGGTTTAATGTGACGACATAAGACTTGTATTAGTATTTCAGGTCACAAGTATTCATACGTTATATTGTGCATTAGCAAAGACATGCAATGTTGTTTCACAGTTTCATGAATACACAATGTCACCAGAAGCTGATATAATGATTCATAATAGTCGGGTAGGTCGGGAAGCCTAGTGATTAAAGCGTTCGCTCGTCACGCCAAAGACCTGCGTTCGATTCCACAAGGACACAAAGTGTAAAGCCATTTCTGGTGTCCCCCGCCGTGATATTGCTGGAATATTGCTAAATGCAGCGTAAAACTAAACTCACTCACCCATTTAGGATAGACGTCTTATGTTTATTCTAGTAATGTTTCTTATGATTCTGGAAATTAGTTACTATTTTGTTTGGTTTATCACTGGACGTCGGAGTCTCAGGGTAATGAGTGAGTGAGTATGGTTTTACGCCGCAGTTAATAATATTCCTGCAATATGACGACGGAAGACACCATAAATGGGCATCACGCAGGCGAGACTAGCGAACCCCAGGTACTGACATGAAATACATGAATGGGGCTCTTACAGAAATCTGCCGCCTAGGGCCACAGTGAAGGTACATATGATATAAATGAGATAAATTGACAACCAGAAAAATATGTCTTATGATTCCACATGCATCATACGTTTGTGGTCATCTACTGTCAAAGAACGATGATGCCAGGTGTTCGCAAACATATGAGCGTATCCTGCACGACCACTGGACACGTCACCGACCCATGCAAAGCCAAGTATACTTTCACCGAAAACAAGACAAGAGTAAATCGATGCTCATGCTGTTGTTTACTGGATTGTCTGGATCGGGTGGAGTCGATTGTTTTACAGACCGCCGCGTAAATATCAGCTGCAATATTGCTGACTGCGGCGTAAAACTAAACTCACTCACTCATTCACTCAATCTTTCGAGGACCTGTGGTCATGTGCATATATAGCTCAGGTAACAAATCAGTTGAAGTTAAGCAACGTTGGGGAAGAGTCTCTGGATGGGTGACCGTGTTTGGCAGCTTCTTGACTCCTGGGGACGGTGGGGTAGCCTAGTGGTTAAAGCGTTGGCTCGTCACGCCAAAGACCCGGGTTCGAATCCCCACATGGACACAATGTGTTAAGCCCATTTCTGGTGTCCCCCGCCGTGATATTGCTGGAATATTGCTAAAAGCGGCGTAAAACTAAACTCAGTCAGTCAGTCTTGACTCCTGAGAGTTTCTAGAACTCCAGTCCTGCCCCACAACGAAGCACATGTGATACATGTGGTCTCACCTTAGGCAAGTGAGTTTGATCAAAAGTGCCTCTGTTCACCCAGCAGAAAATGGGTACCCAATGGGATAAGATATGATAACCTTTTAGCGCCACACAGGCAGCCTGGGTTATCCGGGTAATAATGATCAGATTGTGCGCTTTGAGCATCCTTATAGCTTGTGCGCTTTGAGCAGGATATGACGCCTGGAAAGGTGCGTTATAAGTAATATTCTGAGCGTTATAAAATGACACTCTAGTTTGGGAATACCTGAACAGATATTTCAGTTTTCCTGTTATGCACTCAGAGAGAGATAGTCACCGGTAATAAGGTACACATGCAGATGTAATAGGTCTACAGTAACCGGAAAACCTTTTCCGCTGTAAGTGCCCAATAAATTCTATCTTATGTGTTCAGTGTAGTCTGGGACAATGTAACCAACCACTCATCAACATTGGTATTGTAGCCCAATAAGATTACAGGCATCATTCAATACCAATAGATACGCAGAAGCGGAGATGGTCTCCGCTAGTGAAGTGTTGCTGCCGTGCTTGGTTATTGAAAACCCACCTCCCCCATTTCAACCTCCCCACCATTCAGCCACGTATTCACACCTCCCCTCTCCCCACACGCGTTTCAAACCCTGGGGCCATGAGGTAGAATGCTTTCACTTGTACGAGTGCTCTTAGTGGTACATTGTTGCAACTCACATGATACTTTTACACAGACTTAGTTAGTCGTGAGCTAGAATTGCTTAGAATTGCTTAGTGAAACCTGGTGGTAAGCGACCAACACAATTCGACAAAAGTGTTTCACTGTTTTGGCAAGGCTGTCTACAGGTGACATGGGCAAAATATCTAACAAGATAATTGACCACTGGTTTGTTTTGTCCAGCTGTAAGAGAACAAGAAAGTATCGGTGTTATCTCAAATTAGAGTTTTTTCTAAATCATAATATTATTTGCATTGTTTTCGAAAATGCATTTTAAAACTTGTTTGAAAACTGTTTTCATTGTGTTACGACTCGTCGATTATCGGTCAAAACAGATTCCACTGCAGCTAAAAGGCAAAACATCAGTGAAAATTATATGATCGGATCGCTGAAATTGTGTAGTGACACCAGGTGTTCGCGAAACGGGGACAGCATGGTCTGCAATAACGGTAGCAGCCGCAACAGCTTGCACATGGAAGTTTGTTGTCTGAATTCGCATCAATACACGTGTCACCTTAAACCCCGTTTCACAACCACCACACCACCATCACCTCTCCAACCCCACCCCACCCCAAAACACCCCAAAACACCCCCAAAACAATGCATAAATCAACAGCTTCCTAACATTTCTCTTATTTTTATTGTTTACGTGATATATAATAACTGTACATATCTGAACACAGGTGTGTTCTGAGGTTTTGTGCTAAAGCTGGCGAACACCAAAATAGTTTGATGAAGAAAACCGATAAACATAAGAATAGTTTGACACGTGGACGGACAGAACATCCCCACGCCGCAAGGAAAAGCTTTCCTCTAAAGTTGTTGCCGTGAACAGTCCCACTCCATGAGGAAGACTAACGTTTGTTAGTAGTAAAATGTCTGGCACAGGAGAATATTGTGGATTGTGACGTAATAACGAATATGTCACATGTCTCCTTGTGATGTCACCACGACGTACAATAAACGTCAGAGAGGAATATACGAAATATAAACCGTCTTTTTGGATAAATAATGAGTTGTCTTCCAATATTATGGCACCAGTGACATGGGCACTTCCATAACCGGGCTTTGTGCTCCACACAAGATGGGTTCCTGCAAACATACAACGCATTTTATTTGTAATTGATGATGACAATCATTATTACAATAACGAAAACATATTTGTCCTTATTTCGAGTTCCAAGTTTTTGCATAAGTTTTTTAATATAAATATTTCATAATGCAGATGATACCCTTCTTACCAACACCCGGTGTCATCACTGATTTTTCAGTGCTTCGTTTACAAACATGTGTTCAACAGAGAGGGACTCCATGCAATTCTGTATTAACCGACATGAAAACAAACAATATCAAAACTCGTGTTTTGCTCTAGTGAAACACGTTTTGTAAAGAAGTAGATAATGCTTAAAATAACCATTGCAAGACGTACCCTTAAATGTGACCTGATTAAGGAACACGTGGGCTGAAGCTTTGACGTCGCCTTGATGAATGTGACGTGCCCTGCCCGAGTCAGAGTTCAGTTCTCTGTGTTCAAAGAAGTAGCATGACATCTGCAATAAACACACATGTATCAGAACATTTAAACGGTATTAGAATAATCAAGAGCATGGACTCATTTGGGTTAAGCTATATATTTAAAAATAGATTGCCAAGGTTCATTGCAGAGAATATAATGTACGTTTTGGTCGTATTTTAGCAACACTCTGGCTATGTTAATAGCGTACGTATCTTAGAGTCGGTGCCAATTCTCTGTGAAGAGTTTTGTCAGAGGAGTGATCGAATGATCTTGAGTGGGATCCACGATATCACAGATTAGGTGCCAAGTCTCTGTGAAGAGGTGTGTCAGAGGAGTGATCGAATGATCTTGAGTGGGATCCACGATTTCACAGATTAGGTGCCAATTCTCTGTGAAGAGGTGTGTCAGAGGAGTGATCGAAAGATCTTGAGTGGGATCCACGATTCGCCTGTATCTTTATAATGGCGGCATTCGCCAGCGTGATAAAAGAATAATACATCACTTTGGTCTTCTATTATTCACGACTATTCTAATCACAGAATAAAACCTACATGTACTTATAACGCAAGTGGATAATTTGGATGGTCAGTTTACAAACATAATTAATTATTACATATATAACAAATATATACTTGATGAGAATGTATCAGACAATGCTCTTGGTAGAGACAGAAATACTAGAATGTTTTTCACACCATTTTACTCGATTGCACAGATTACAGGTCTAGAGTTGTCAGCTCTATCGCCAGGCTCATTTTATTCTCCAGTAGTACATTTCAAAGACTGAGACGTGAACCACTTGTGCATACCCCACACATTAAGCTCGGAAACTATCACATAACTGAAAGACACTTACGGGTATCAGAACGAGTCATACTTTGGTTTTTCAAAATCCAACCTGTTACGCATTTCTTATTAACTTCAAATGATAGTTGGCTGTTTATTAATTATATGAAATATGTCTTTAATTACATGTAGCACTTTACTTACAAGTTTCACAAGATGTGTTAGACCCTCAGCATGTCTCAGACAGCACATCCGACGACCCTGAAGAAGTACCACATCGGCATCCTCGGAGTAAGCCAGGGAACGCTCCTCACTCCTATGCTTTTCACAGGGAATGCACAAAGATCCCTGCCCAATGCGCCTTGTATCGGCTGTGATTACAGGGTGACTGCGAGAGAATTTATGCAACAAAACAAGAACAATCATCGATATGTTCAGCGCTGCTGAGATGACAAGAGTCAGTATACATATTGTCGTCACAACTCTGTGGCGTCGCCTTTGTTTAGGGCTGCGAGTGTGCTCCATGTTAATGGGAGGACTGTAGATGATATACTGACATACATACACTGACGTAGATCGAGCTTGTTCAGATTAAGTGGCCTCGTTCTACTTAAAACAGGACTTCCTGGTAGCGTTCGTGTTTTCCATTTTAAGAACGTCCCGCGTGAGCGTCTATACATCTACGCATTGTTACTTCATAGTGTGGTGTACAGTGCAGATTATACGTGAGGTTCCATGCTAGTAATGTACATGTGTTACGTGTAGGTACGGCGAATAGAGGAGTCATGTGACGAGAAGACCGAAGAAAAACCCAATGAAAACCAAACAACCCAAAATATATCTGACGATATATTAAGAGCAAAGGGACTCGTGAAATGACTGAAGCAGTGTCTATGCAAGTTATCATTACTTATGAACTGTATTTCAGTTCAATTTGTGTGTTGTTTAGCACAGCAGTTTTCCAGCGGTGGTCGGAAAATAATTGAGGCCGGACCAGACAATCTTAAAGCTTAGTACATTGATATAATTGACATATCAACGTTTCCTGGTTAATACGTTGTTTACCTTTCCACTTTTATGTTCACTGGGTTCAGTTTAACGTCTTTATGAAAAATATTGAAGCTTTATCACGGCGTGTTAGCTTAACGGGGGAAGAAATCCCGAAGTAATAAATAATATTATGTGCACTTATACTATGATTACTAGATAATATGGGTAAAATTATCTTGGGCATCACATATTAGAAATCTTTTGTTTTCTCATGGATATGGGTTGATATGGATAGGCCAGGGTGTGGGCGATGTCTTTATGTTTATAAAAGAATTTCGTGATCGAGCGGTAAATATGTTTCATCAGGAAAGGCATTTCACTCTAGAAAGTAGCTCTCGTTACGAATTATATAGAACATTTAAAAACCTATTACAACCTGAACTGTATTTATCTAAACTTTCTTTTAAATGTAACAGAAATATATTTGTAAAATATAGGACAGGTTTGTTGGACTTAATGGTAAATAGGGGCAGAAAACTGTCCATCCCAAAATCTGAAAGATCGTGTCCTTTATGTAATTCTTCAGTAGAAGATGAACTACATTTTACCCTTGACTGTCGATTTTATGAAGATTTACGTTACATGTATATCCCAGAACGTTATCTGTCGGAACCACCACTGATAGCTTTTTCCAGTTTATTAACAACTAATAATGAATCCACCCTACACAATCTAGCTCTCTATGTTAAATAACGAGCACTTACAGTTAACCATGTCCTAATGTATGTAACTCGCTTGTATAAGGGCCGGTGGCCTAAAATACAATAAACGATTGTCTTGTCTTGTCTTGTCACAAGTTATAGAAAGTCTTAAAGAGATGGGGTTTGAGATCGCTCTTAAGGGATTCTGCCTCCTTGATTTGAAGAGGTAACGGTTTCCATAAAGTGGCAGCCAAATAGGCAAAGGATCTATATCCAAACTTTTTCAGATTGTTCTTTGGTACTTCAAGTAAATGATGGTCGGCAGATCGAAGATATCTCAATGCTACATATTTGTGAATGAGATCATTCAAATATGGAGGAGCTGGCTGATGATAGCATTTGTACACAAGTGTCCAAATTTTTAGTTGAACTCTTGCTTGTACAGGAAGCCAATGTGTGAATACGTCATCTGTGTGCAGCAGTATTTTGCACACGCCGAAGTCTGGCAATCAGTTCCTTGGAAAATTTCAGAGCAAACTGTTGCAATAATCCAATCAGGATGACACAAGTGTCCGCCCAAGCAAGTAATGCAAGGTTCGGAGGTATAGAATTTAGTAGAACCGAGGAACACTTGTATGGTGCTGAGAAACCCTGACAAATAACAAGATCGAACCCAGATTTGACCCCATGAGCATAGGTTCCTTGCATGCCAAAGGGGAGGAACTCTGTTGGGTTGGGTTGTTTTGGGTGAGTGCAGACATCACTGTAGACTGTTAGCAGTTAGAGCACAACAGGATCGTCAATTCCATAAAATATAACTGAATTATGTTAAAGAAAAAACAAGCGTTTTGGAAAATATGAAATATTTTATTTCCAGTGATCCACGTGAATAGTACAACTAATAAGGGTATAACATTGCTTATATAGAAACAAAATCCAGATTATTATGAAAGACAAACATGATTAAATATACTACCCATTAAAAGTTTAGACTCACTAGTGTACATGTAGTCACTTACTTCGGTCAAATGTTCTAAACTAGATTTTTCAAAATATTCCATATTGTTTAAAGGTACTGTTTACACTTAAACTGGTGTATTGTACAACAAATTTGTGACGTTTAAACGACTATTGTCATGAGTTCAATAAATGAGGAAACTCAGTGAAAATTGGCGAATTCTTAACAAAACCTTACACCAAAACGCAGCTGTTCACATGCACCATATTTGCACATGCTTTTCAGCAAGTTGATGCACTATCCTTGTGCAATTCATCTGCATAAGGCGTCCCTTTGTTTCCCCTAACTTAATGGAGAAATTCATCTTCAATGTAACCATGTATATATATGCATAAGATAGAATGTAGTGAGTGCTTTAAATGAGTCTAAACTTTTGATGGGTAGTATAGTTTCATAGAATACATTTAGGTCATGAGGTTAGGAGTAGTGTTATCTCTGCTAACATTAATATCGTTACGAGTGTCGTGTTTATCTGGTGTCTAAAGCAATTTGATATTTTGACTTGTACGATATGTTCCCGTGTTTACTCATATGTACATTCAGTGTGCGAGATAGTTCCCAAGTTCTGCTTGCCAGTCGGCCTAGCTATGCCTGACCAGCCCACAAAATAATTCACAAGCCCGAATTTTGAATGTAGAAACAAAGCAATAGATTACTCAAAGGTAAGCTGCTAATATGATGAATATTTTTATCAAGCCATCATCTTGCATGATTTAAAAGTGTATTATAACTTAACAAGTCGGAGAGAGTGTTATATTTATCAAATGACACTATAAATATTCACTAGGCAGTCGGGCCATTGACTGTGGAGATTTACTGGCCCAACTGGATTTTCACTAGCCACGAGCCAGCGAACCAGTGGCTATTTCGCACACTGACTGTACATTCGATTTGCCTTCGCATGTTTCGAGCATCCAGTTTAATTACTATGAAGTGATTCGGTAACACATGTTTACGTAAAATGAACGCAACATTTAAAGCAGGTTTCTGTTTTTTAGAAATGATTGTTGTCCATTAAGAATTTCTTTCATTTGTTTTATGTTCCGATAAGACGTGTTAAAATATTTACATTATGTTATTTAAAGTAAAGCCAGCAGCGTATTCTGCGATCTTAAACAGACCTAAACAATAACCCACTTAACAGTGTTGGATCTTCAGAATCGCCCCTTTAAAAAGAGGAATAAACACATTTTAAAAGAAAGAAATAAACTCAATTCAAAATCTGTTTCATAGTAGTCAAACCCTTCCATAATTCGATGTTTTCACGTTCTTACAAATGCGTTTAAATTGTTTATTTTCACTGTGTACACTGTTCAAGGGACGTTAATCTTCTTAGACTATCTATGAAAGGGTGATGTTGTGATAAAAGCTGCAATCGTGTAGATAAATCAAAGGGAGGTTACTCATGTTAATGAACGGTACACCTCCGGTGAAAACCTTTAGTTGTTAGCAAGTTGCCTGACGTTTTCCCGATTATTTATTCAGGCTACAGATTGGCGAGTTACATATTGTAGCTGTCAGCTCCGGAACCAGGTAGTAACTGGTATTAGAACGTAACGTAATACACCTGTATTATACGAACGATATATAGTAGGTTGTATAATTATGCATACACAATAGCACCATGTGTCCTGGTGTTGATACATGTTGTATATGAATTGATTCAGGACGCCGAATTAAACATATTTTCAATAAATTACTTCAAATATATCTCAGTAAACACAGTCATGTTTTCCAAATATCTTACACTCCTCGACTTAATGAAGGGAAGCAGCTCTGTACAGAAGGTAACGGCGTCGGAAATAATACCTTTTCCAGAAGTAAGTACTATAACATATTCTTTCCAAAAACTTAAACTGCTTACAAATAAATGTACATCTGTCTTATCATACAAGACAAGTAATTTGCTGTGGTATTTGCAGGTAATTTGACCCTCCGTAGTCTATTTGCTGTATAGCATTCCACTAAGTCACCCTGGCAGCCAGAAACATTCCCTCTTCTGATAGGCCAACGCCAACATGGCAATCACTGCAGAAACAGTGATGAATCTGAGGAAAAGGCTTGTTGCAGGAATGTTCGGCACTTAGACATGTCGCATTTGCTTGCCATAGTGCCCGTGTTCTGTGGCATGGTCGATCGCTTCTCTGGCTCCGCTCCAAGGATGCGGCCCCCACAGTCGATGGTGGTATGGGAAGGCAGGTCCGTAGTAGTATTGGTAGGCGAGTCTTGGACCTGCCTTGATCAAATCAAACAAGGAGGGGGCAACGCCCACCTGCTTTGCAATGTCGTCTCGATAAGGAAGGTTGTGTATCTGAAATATATAAAATGCATTTTATAGTACCTGATATGTTGGTGTGTTTTTTTTGCGATGATTACTTAAATCTGGAAATATTCTGGGCCAGACGAACCGGTGACGCAGTGACAACGGATGCCCACCACTCCATCTCAAAACCTCTGACGACAACATACTGGGGATCATGGAAGAGTGAGTGAGTGAGCAATATCGCAGCGGGGGACACCAGAAATGGACTTCACACATTGTACCCATGTGGGTAATCGAACCCTGGTCTTCGGCGTGAGGGATCATGGAAGAACCATATTCTAACCCTAAGTATACGTGTAGACTCGGGATGTGCTATATGGTGTGGTTGGGATAGCTTAGTGGGTACGTCCCGGGCTCAATTCCCCACATAGGTAAATGTGTGAACACCATTTCTGGTGTCCCCCACCATGAGAACCTGTGAATCTCCGGGTTAGAATCGGTCTTCAGTAACCCATGCTTGTCGTTTGAGGCGACTAACGGGATTGGGTGGTCAGGCTCGCTGACTTGGCTGACACATGTCATCGTATCCTAATTGTGTAGGTCGATGCTCATGCTTTTGATCACTGGATTGTCTGGTTCAGACTCGATTATTTACAGACCGCCGCCATAT